GGAGCTGAAACGCGGCTACGTGCTCAACCCCTTGGCCCCGGAGTTCGTTCCGCGCGCCCTCCAGCCGGAGGCCTATCTGCGGGACCAGGCGGCCCTCTATCTGAACGGACCCCAGCACGGACACGGCACCCACGGGCCGCCGGGTCCTCCGGCCCACTATGCCAGCGCGGCCGGGATGCTGGGCCCCGGACCGGCGGCTGCCCACCAGATGAACCAAATGGCCGCTGCCATGGCCGCGAACCAGCAGCTCTCCCACATGTACTCCACCCACATGGCGGCCATGATGGCCGCAGCCGCCGCCGTGGGCGGGGGCAAGGCTGCCAACGGGCCCGGTCCGGGTCCAGGTCCTCCTCCCCACTATGGTGGAGGGGGGCACATGGGCATGCGGGGACCGCCGCCCAATGGTGCGCCCCAGCCGCCGCATCTGCGGGGAATGCCCGGACCCGGGCCGCCTGGACCGCCTCCGCCGGGCGCAGGTGGACCTCCACCTCCGCCCTACAACCAGTACGCAACCATGCAGCACTGGCGGCCGCCCATTGCACCGCAGCAGCAGCCGGGCGGACAGGGCCAAGGACAAGGGCCCCAGCCGCAGAATCCCAATGCCAGTCTCTGGGGGCCGCCGCCGCAGACGAATCCGTGGAGCGTGCTGCCCCCGAACAAGCAGCAGCAGCAGCCACCGGTGACTGCTCCGGGACGAGGGCCCGGACCGGGTCCGGGATCCCTGCAACCGCCCCCACCAAATGCGAATCCCTCGCTGCCATTGCGCGGCGGAAGCGTGCCACCGCCGCCACCCAATGCTCCGCCCGCTGCCCAGCTGCTGCGCAATCCCAGCGAACTGGGCTACTTGGCCAAGAAGACACTCTACAACCATGGCCAGGCGCAGCCTCCGCCGCCACCGCCCCACCACCTGTACGGGCCGCCGCCGCCGCAGCAGCAGGCGCCGCCGCCCATGCAGGGCATGCAGAGGGGCAGCAGCGTGCCCAACGGGCCCATGAGCCCCATGGAGAACGGGCCGCCGCTGCCCTACCTGAGGCACAATGGCAGCGGATACAACAGCTACGACAAGCCGCTGGTGCCGCCCCAGCAGCAACAGCAACAGCAGCAGCCGCCCTTCATGTACGGAGCGAAGCAGCCATCCCCCAGCTCGCTGCGCTTTGGCCCTCCCTCGCACGACCTGCTGCCCCCGAATGTGAGCATCTACGAGATGGCCTTCAACCCCAAGGAGGAGCAGTACAAGTGGTACCTCAAGCTCCTCGAGACCGTCGGCCAGGAGGGGGCCAACAAGTTCGCGGACATGCTGCGCCAGGTGATGGTCACCCTGCAGCAGCAGCAGCAGCAACAGCAGCAGCAGCAGGGCCACCAGCAGCAGCTCAAGCAACCGCCCCACCAGCAGATGGTGAACAATCCGATGCTGAACAATCCCCATGTGATGGGCGGCGGCGGCGGCGGAGGCGGCCAGGGCCAGAGGCCGCAGTATCCCATGATGTATCCCCAGAACCAGCCGCAGCAGCCGCTCCAGCCACAGTCCGTGGAGGCCTCGCCGCCGCTGGAGAACTTCAATCACCAAATCGACTTGGTCTTTAACTCGATCATGAACGGAGCCAACGACATTGCCCAGCCCATACTGCGGGACGTGCTGGGCATGGTGGCCGGCACGGCAAGTGCCCCCGGCGCGGGACCTTCTCTAACCAATGGATTGAATGCCCTCGAGCTGCAGCAGCAGCAGCAACAGCAGCAGCAGCAGCAGAGTCGCCTCTTTGCCATCATGCAGCAGCAGCAGCAACAACAGCAGCAGCAGGCGAAGATACCGCCTGGCCCTGGACCGGGTCTGTATGCCGGGCATCTAGCTGGTGGGCCGCCACAGGGAGGAGGGCCAGGACCGGGACCAGGCCCTGGACCTGGACCACATCAGCCTCCGCCCAATAGCAGCGCCAACAACTCCAACTTTATGGGTAAGGGGGCTCGGGTGAGGTGTCGATTGTAGCCGATTGAGGCCCGGCAAAGCATGAATGTTGCGTTAGGTTCGATTTAAGATTGTGGACTTCCGCAAAAAAGGTTTGCAGGCCCCGAATGTGGCCATCATTGATGGATGGAAGGTATCGCAGGTATCCGATGGTGTAGCACAAGCTACAAGAGACTGGAGATGCTTGCTAGACGATAGACGGGTGTCGCATGGGCATATAGATATTAGATGACTTTCCAATGCTATTGATTCCTTGATTTTGTTCCGTTTGTAACCTTTCGCTTTCTGTTTTCCACCAGCTGTCAATCCTCTGCTCAACGACAAGCCCTACAACAACCCAATGAACATGCACAACAACGTGGGACCGAACAACGCTGGAGTGGGCGCTGGAGTGGGCGTGGGAGTGGCTGGAGTTCCCGGCACCAATGGCCTGCTGAGCAATGGGAACTCGGTGCCGCTCTATCGACGCCAGGCCCTGACCGGCAATGGCATTGGCATTGGCATTGGCCATGGCATCGGGAACAGCTACAACAACATGCCCGGCCTGGACACGGGCACCAATCTGATTGAGGCCCTGTTCCACGCCAACAACGCCGTGGCGGATCACTCTGTGAAGTCGTCCGACCATGTGCAGGGCCTGCTGTACAACAATTTCAGTGCGCTAAAGAGCGGCCACGAAATGGACCTGTTCCAGTCGATGCCGCTGCCAGTGCCACACTCGGAGGCCAACAATCACCACCATCAGCACCAGCAGCATCAGCAGGCCTCTTCCGCGGCCACCACCTATGCGGCGGTGTTGAGTCAGGGCCCACAGGCGGCATCGTCGGCTGGTGGAGCGGGTCAAGGCCAAGGACAGGGCCAGAATCAGAATCAAGGGCAGGGGCAGGCCCAGTCACAGTCACAGGCGCAGTCGCAGTCGCAGCCCGCCCCGGCGGCCAAATCCTCGCAGGCGGGCGGCGAGCTGGAGAAGGATCCGTTCGCGGCCATACGGGAACTGGGCCAGGCCACAACCGGATTCTACAACTATTTTCAGTGAGGCACGGACAGCGGACGACCTCCTGTTGTGGCATCAAAGGGTCTTAAAATAAAACAACAAAAAAAACAAAAATAAAAACTAAAAAAAAAGAGAAAATTAACAAAGAAAAAAATTGCAAAATTCTTAGCTGAGAACAAAAAAAAAAAACGTAAAAATGCCCCCCCAAAAAAAAGAGGGAAAAGGAAAAAACAAAAACGGAAACGAAAACGATAAATGAAGGAAAGAGAAAATATAGAAAAAGAACTGCTTGTTAATTATAGTTGCCCCTATCCTTATTTTGCTTTCATTTTAATTGCAAATTATTTTTTTTACGATAGCCATAAGTTGAGCGTGTGAATTATTATGATTAATTAATAATATACAAACCTATTTAGTTAATGTTTAGTGGTTACTAAAGCTCGTCCCAAATGCCGCAGCAGGATGTTGTTCGTATTGATTCCGGTCCGGTCCGATCCCGATACCGATCCCGATCCAGACCCAGACCCAGATCCCGATAGTCCCCTCCAAGTACGCCACAGGCGCCATTTATCGGCTCGCAGCATCCAAAGGGTTGCTCTGAGCAGCCTTACAAAAAACAAAAAACAAAAAAACACATAAAAAATGAACACAAAAAACCTTATCGATTAGACTCTTGAAACGAAAAAAAACTAGAAGAAACAAAAAAAAACCTTACAAAAAAAAAACAAAGAAATATACGAAAAAATGCAAAAAAAATAAAAACAAAAAAAAGATTAATTATGTAATAACTATTAAATGCAGGATGCATACGAGTAGTTAGCTTTAGATCTAAGGTAATCCAAGAAAATTTGTATTGTACATTTTTTTCTATCTTTAGTCCGTAGTCCATATGCTACGTAAACCTTTGGTCTTTCTCTACTATATTATTATACCCTTAGTTCTCGGTTATACAATGTAAAGCTTTCAATTTTGTACAGCAGTTGACTATTCAAAAACATTATTAACAACTACAACTACAAAAACAAAAACAAAAAACCATTAAAACAAAAAAATGAAATTTTGTCATGCACTCAAAAATACACAACTTATTATCCTTAATTGTACTTCAGAATATATACTTATATATATATACAAACATGCATATATATTTATATATTAAGTGGCTAAAAGGGATATTGAAATGTTTGTGTACGGAAAACAAAACTAAAAAAAAAGGCAAAAAAAAAACCATTAATATATATACATACATATATACATAAAGTTGTGCACGAGTTATTTGTTCCTTGGGCAATCCTAAATTTCTGAAGTGTGTTTTAATTACATTACTGTTACGACTCCGATCCCGACCCCAGCCCCAGCCCCGACCCAGACCGAGCGACTGCCGCCCGGCGATCGTATTCTGCTGAATGCTGAATCCCCGCTCACGCCCTGTCCCGTACTAGTTTAGACCCGTTTCGATCGATCCTTGTTTTATCGTAGTATTTGGCTAGCGACTTCGATAGCAAGCATACACACATATATACAAGCATATATAATATATATATATATATAACTGTAATTATTTAATCAATGTAACACGTACGAGAGTAGCAACAGAAGAAAGCGAAATTTACATTTAATATACAGATAATTGTACTTTTAATAATCCAACCAACCCCCCAACCCAACCCCTCTCCCCACCCACACACTCACTCACGTCATTTGTTAAACGAAATTCTAGATAATAAATACATTGCAAACGAATACACACACACACACACACACACACACGACATTTAGTGTTACATTTTATGTAAATTTAGACGCATCCTAACTAAACACCCGACAAGCCACAACAACTCATTTCGCACGACAAACAAACAAAAAACGAGACATTATTAACTAAATAGCCCCCCTCCCCTCTCAACTGTATTGTATATGTACACAAATTTATATGAAATCAGCTACGCTGAAAATTCTTTTGAACAAAATTACAAAAAAAAACACAAAAAAACAAAAAAAGATCCCCAAGGGACAGCAAAAAAAGAAAAAAAAACTCGAATGTTTGGATTTATTTGGCAGCAGCAAGACCTCCCAAATGGGAAGGGGAGCCTGACCTTTATTAGTTTATAAAGCTTAACTAGATTCTAAAGGTGATACAAGACTTAATCCTAAAGGCTTAGATGGGGACATTCAGGCCGGACAACTCCTCCTTGACCTCGTCGTACAGATCCTTGTAGTCGTCGTTTTGGCGGATGAGCAGCGCAACTGTTCCCCGCTTGACGCCCATGGCAGCACCCAGGTCTGCACGACTTGGGGTGTAGGCATAGGGAATGCCCTTCTCCTCGCAGACGGCAGGCAGATGGCACATGATGTCCACAGGTGTCACATCGCCAGCAAAGATGCAAATGCTGTGGAGGAGGAAGAAGATGAGGGTCTTCACTTTTCCCATGCTCATTACTCATACTAACCCAGTCTCTCCTTTTCGCAAACGGGTCTGCACATCCTTAAGACCATTTCGCAGATAGGTCTTGTGTTTCATGGCTTTCTTGACCAGTTTATAGCACTTCTTGGCGAGCTTCTTGCCCGCCATGGGCTTGGCTATGGCATTCACAAACAGCAGTTTGTCGTCGTACGTCTCCTCCTCCTTGATGGTCACGTCTCCGCTGATCTGGACGGATTCATTGGGATCACTAGAGCGCTCTACTTTCACCTTCATCATAATCTTTTTGTTAAACAAATTTGATTTAATTCAAAGCAGCCGAACCGAAGCACGTGTTGATATCAGCGTTAGTATCAGTGTTGGTATCAGTGTTGGTTTCAATCCTCAGAAATATACCGTCTCATTTAAAAAATATACTGTAAATATACTGACGAAAAGATGAAAGATGTGAACAAAAGTATATCGATACTATCGACTGCCCGCACAAGTTTGAAAGTGAATGAGTGACAATCCATTGGGATAAATAGTGCAGGGAAGGACAATTCGGTAGAGCGAGAATTAACAAAAATGTTTCTATACTGTTTCTGGCTTGGCCCATACAAATTGAATGTTTGAGAGCCAATAATCAAATCGAAGAAAGCAGTTCGTCTATCGATACTATCGATATAGTACTATTAATACCAGCCACAGTGGAGCCTCGATAGGAACGAAGTAAATAGCTTGAATACACTGTAAAGTTGTTTATTCGAAAAATTTTAATGGATTTATAAGTGTATACAAAGGCTGTCTCAATGCTCTCTTTTGTGCGGCGGCACATATACCTGTTGTTGCTGGGCCTGGCGATCGCTGCGGTAGCGCGAGTGCTGCTGCTGCAGTGGCGGCGGCGGTGCACAATGCTGCACATTGCTCAGGGGCCTGTTCTGGGCATCAGTGATGGGGAGAATGTCACCGTTGAGGACCTCCTCGTGGTTTCCATAGCCCATAAAGAAGACCACACAAGTTTTCTCCGTGACACCCGTTATCTCAGCCTCATAATACTGTCGGAATTGGGGAAGGGAAGGAACAAATGTTGCACAAATTAGTGGGGGTCGTCACCAAATATAGGAATTGTTTGAAACTTACGCGTCCATCATCCCAGTACTTGGCCATGCACAAATCGCCCTTCTGCCACATCCACCCATCACCGGGCAACATTCCAAACTGCTGGGCTGCCGCTGCAGGAGTCACTGCCCTTGGCTGAGGATTGATGCCGGCATAGAGCGACGGTGGAGACGGCTGACTGGCCCCTTGCAGAACATCTTTGACTGTCTTCGACCCCGCTGCTCCAGCTGAAGAAGCCGAAGCAGCCGGAGCAGCTGAAACAGCCGTAGCTCCTGTGCCCTGACTCTTTAGCAGGCTCATTGCGAATTCGTTCGTCTCCTTGCTCTGGAAACCCATTATCTTGCTGGGATCATATGTGTAGCCGTTGGGCAATTGACTGTAGTTGGCAATTGATTGCTTGAATGGATTATAATGGGGTTGATGGTTCTGATGCTGCTGTCTCTGAGTCTGCGGTGCCTTTTCCGACTTCTGCGAGGGCTGTGAAGACTGTGCTGTCTGTGGAGGCTCCGTTGACTGGCGGTTTGACTGCCCCTGGCCTCGCTGACGGCGCGGTTGACTCTCTCGCTTGGGGGCACTCACTTTAAGATTTGCAGTATCCTCGGTGACTTTGTTCAGGCGCGCATTGAAGTCATCGCCCGAATTGTTCTGCTGCTTAGGGTCTGGCTTGGCTGCTCCGGCTCCGGTTCCGGCTCCAACTCCCGAACTGCTTGCCTGCTGCGGCCGGCGTCTGTTGCCAGTGCCATTCTCAACACGGACTGAGCCGCCGCCGCCTCCTCCTCCTCCGCGACGCTCGCTACCGCGTCTGTTGGCCGATTGGTCCTTGGCATTCGAAATCGAAGCCTCGTGCTCAGTTTTGAACTCTGAATTGCTTTTAATTGGCGGATTTTCTGGGCCATTGCGATTGGAATTTTTGATTGGAGCCGATTCTGGCTTGTTGCGCGCACTGCCGCGCTCATTGAATGCACCTCCACGATCCCGCGGTGGACGCTCGTCTCTAGGAGGGCGCTCCTCCCGACGTGGACGCTCATCTCGTGGTGGCCGCTCTTCTCTGGGCGGACGTTCATCTCGACCACCGCCTCGATTACGGGCTCCGCCACGCCCTGGGCCAGAGTAACCGCCACGATTGGCGGCAAAGCTGCTCGAGACATTGTTCTCGAAGCGAGAACGATCTGAAAATTTGTTAGCCGATGAAGATTCCCCAAATCGAGGGCCATATTGCTTAAATACTGAACTGTTGGCAGTGGATGCGACAGCGGAGGCGGATTCGGTGGCAGTGGCGGTGACGCTTGTTCCTGCCTCCGTTGCGGGCAGTTTGGTGGTGAGAAAATCGAAGAGTGTGGCATTGGCTGCTGGCTTGGGTGCCTCGGCTTCATCCTTGCTGCTGGCACCTCGTTTGCCCTCTCTGCCGTGCCTATCACTGCGGCCCGGCCGCACATCCATTTCGATGGGCCCGCCGCCGGATTCTTTGCGGCGCTTGAGGTTGAACAGAGCCCGCTCCAGATTGTTGCGGGTGACGTGCAGAGCGTTTCTGGCCTCCTCCTCGGAGAACCCCTTGTCAAGAATCTTCTTGATATTGTGGTCCACGATGTTCTGGCCGCCTCCACCAAAAACCTTCTTGCCACCGGCTTTGGTGGCCACGGCAATGGCCTCGTTGCGCATGGCATTAAACTCGTCGTTCTCTCTGGCCGGCTTATCCTTGTCGGCCAAGGCGTGGCTCCTGAAGTTGCGGTCGGCCGTCGAGTCGAATTTCTTGCCAAAGGCCACCCAGGGGGGCGGCACAGACGTCCCGTTCAACGGGCGCCCGCTGCGGGCATATTTGAGCATGGTGCGGGCCAGATCCCACTTCTCGTACATTGCATCAACGCGACCGCCCAGCAGTTGCAGCTCGTTTGGGCGCAGAAGCAGGAATCCCTGCATTAGTTGCAGCTTCTCCGCCTTGAAGTAGATCTTTGAGCCTGGGGCCACGTTCAGATTGAGCGCCGGCACCGACTCCAACTCCAGGCCCTGTATGCTATTCTGGCCATCGCTCAAGTCCAGTTGCAAGAGGCGTGGCGCCGCCTTTGATTCTTCGTTGGATTTGGGGGCCGCGATATTGCGAACCCGCTGAACCTGCAGGACAATGCGGCCGGAGATAGGGGCATCCTCGCGCTTAACTGGCAGAGCTCCACCGCCAATATCGCGGATATCGCGCTGAAATCAATAAGAACAGCTATTAGACGCCTGCCAGCCGGTCCGCCCACTTACTCACGTTCAGTGCCTCATCAATAATTTTGCGTGTGTCCTCACCCCCGACAGCGGCGGTCAGAGTCTTGATGCCCTCGTCCGTTAGGTGCCTGTGTGAGCTGTTAGTGGCAATCGATTTCGAGATGTTTATGCTTCACTTACCAGCCGCTTTCTCGCAATTTCCTGGCTAGTTCCATTTTTTCATCAATACGTATTTTTTTGCAAGTTCCACAGCGAATTTTTCTAGCGATGGAAACTTAGTCAGATGTATACTCACTAGGGATGAGCCCAGCAAGCGGCCAGTATCGCGTTATGGATATCGTGCCAAGTATATTAATCAATGATTAATATTTATTCATCCAAAAAAAAATATACATGCTACATATGACAGTCGACATATGAGTGTTAAAGCGCAGAGCATATTGATAATAATTTAATGAGGAATATAATTTAATATAATTGACAATAGTTCCAATAGTTATGGCGATAGTTCCAAATACCACGACATGGCGCCAAGGTTGTTTGTTGTTTGAATATTTCAGTCAATGAGTTTAAGTTAGACTGAGATCTACAACGTATCAAGTTAATGGATGGGAAAAGCAACCATACAATCAGTTAAAGTTGTAAATATACTCAAGATTTAATGAATCATGTCATTATGACATCTATCATGTTCTGAGTGCTGGTGAAAGCCTATGATATATTCCTTACCATAATTATAATCGGCTCAGAACCTATCGATATTAGTAATAGTGAGCTTCAAATTGTAATAGCCGAAGTACTGAATTTTTATTATTTTGGTTTTGCTTATTTTTTTAAGCGCTATTTAGTTCATACTCTTATCAATATGTCAGCTATCGATATGAGCCAACAGCAATGCATCAAGATTAAGAAAATGGATCGTACCATTTTACTCTCCATTTCTGAAAATCTGATATATGTAAATGAATGCATCATAATCATGTGTAAAAAATCCATCACTGATGCCTGATAAAGTTGTGCTGGTTTTTTAAAGCTGGTCAAATTATTTTCGAGGGGCATGTACGGTCTTAAGCCAAAAATTGGTGGATTACCAATTATGACGTAGAATTTGAAACAGAATTTTAGTAAATAATTTAAAACTATGAATTATTATATTTTTAGACTGATGTTTAATTTTGAAGAATCGTTATTTAACTTCGCTTGAAATTATAATAGCCTTTTTAAAATGAACTATTTCCTACGACGATAGTATCGATTTTTGGAATCCAAGCATTCCAATCTATTGATTGCGCCACTATCGATGGTTTCACACCTCCATTGAAAGAAACCCGACGTCATCCGTTATTTGATCGAAAAGTCGTGTGAAGTGAATTTATCGTGTCTCTGATGCGCCTGAAATCAAAAAAGGAAATTTACAGAGAAAACGTTCATTCAAACGAGAAAAAACCTGTTAATTGTTATTAGAAGTCCATAAGCAGAAGGTTTGTACTGTAAATTATAGATTACGATACTATTTTATTTATACCTTTGGCTATTTCCCGCAGGAAATATGGACAAAACTTTTGATGGCTTATTGACCATTATGTCGAGTGAAATTGAGAATCAAGTCAATCGGCGCATATATCTGACCCAAAGAATGTTAGATGCTGTGACCACCACAAGTCGTTCACTAGTGGTGGATCCGGAGGACTTGCAGCCACTGCAACCCATGGCATTGGAGGACGGACAGGAGGAACCACAGGGTCAAGGGGAACCAAAGGGTCAAGAGAAGCCACAGGACCAAGAGGAGAAAATAAAATGAAACATTTTTAAAATAGACAAAACGAACATTAAATACGTACTTTAGGACTCTTTCACCTGTTTTTGCGTATTTTGAATACAAAGAATTACATTTTTTTGAAGTCGAAATCTTATTTATTTTTGTATGCCAATATAAGCTGCTGCTGCTTACACTTCTGCAAATATATGCAAGCATACGCAGTTGAAGAGGTCACGCTGACTGGCAATTGATGCTGACATGAATTTGTTATCCTAAACGTGCGGGTGTTTCCATATTATTAAAATGTTTAAATACATTGATGAGAAGTTTGATCCGCTAGTTTTTGCTGTTGCTAGTTGTGGATGTTTAGCACGATAAGCAGAACAGGGGCGAAAATATTCGAGAAATACAATCATAACCAAACTTTTATACACCACCAGACGCCTACATACATATGCTTATTGAATAGCTCCATAACTCAACCCAAGTGTAAATAGGGTATAAAAAAACCAAAAAAGGAACGAAAACCGAACAAATCATATTTTCGTACGATGGTTTTTGAAGTGCAAATCTGTTTAGTTAATCAACAAATAAATTATGGCTCTCGTGTGGTGCTTTTTTACAAAAATGTATACATGCATGCATGTATGTATGTCTGTGTTAATAAACCGAATGGAGTATGTGTTTGTATAAGTATTCTGCGCGAAAACCCATTAAAAACACATGTCTTATGTTTTATTGTAGTTTTATTCTAATAAACTGTTATGATCCGCCTCTTTGCCACCCTGGCCTATCGTTCCCAGCGCGTGTGATCCTCACTAGCGTACGTCCTTTGTGCTGCCAGTACTGTCTGGTTCACTCGTTCGGCCGCGTTCGCCTGCGGTTCATAGTTCCCCGACTTCAGGTGCGTTATGCTTCTCCTATCCAGGAATTGAGAGAATTCAGCTGACACAAATTGCTTTCCATTATCGGTGTGTACTATTTCAGGCACGCCAAACTGCGCGAAGACCTCGGCGTGCGAGAATCGGATCACGGCCGAAGACGTCGCCTTAGGCAAAGCCTTCAACCAGACATATCTGGACATGTGATCGAGGATTATTAGTATGACTACATTGCCACTTCGAGTCCTCGGATATGGGCCCAGGAAATCCAGGTACAGTTTTTGAATCGGCCTCTCCGTTCTGGTTTCGGCCCCCATGAGTGGACGGTAAACCTGTGTTGAATGTTTTGTTTCTTTGCAGGTGTCACAATCAGCCACATATGCCTTCACCTGCATGGTCATCCGGGGCCAATAATAGAACTGTCGCAGCCGTCCCAGTGTCCTCGCGATTCCTCCATGCATTGCCACATCGCTGTCGAGAGCCTGTTGGATCAGTGTGCTCGTCAGGGCTTCCGGGATCCATAGCTTCCACGAAAACTCCTCTAATTCCGGCCGGCCAAATTGTGTGCGCTTAAACAGCAGTCCTTCCTCCACCTTCAGGTCTGGGAACTCATCCTCATCGCTCTGGACCAACTCGATTTTTCTTCGGTATTCTTCATCCTCGAAGGCTGTGGTGTCGAACTCCACGAAGTCGATAGCGTCAACGCCAAAAGGGACGTGACAGCATATCGGCGACGATATTTTCCTTTCCTTTGCGGTGCTCGATTTCGAAGTCATAAGCCTGGAGAGCCAACGACCACCTGGCTAGCCTCCCATCCAGTGCTTTGAATCGCATGAGCCACTGCAAACTCGCGTGATCTGTTATCACCGTGAATGGCATCAGTTCTGCGTATGCACGGAACTTCTCTATTGCTCTTACCGCCGCCAGACACTCCTTCTCTGGTACGCTATAGTTGAGCTGTGCCCCTCTTAGCTTCGCTGAAAAGAATGCGATCGGGTGCTCTGCTCCTTCATCATACCTCTGGAAGAGAACTGCTCCAATCCCCACGTTACTCGCATCACACTGGATCTTTATCCATGATGTAGCACGGGGGCGCTGGTAAGTGCTTTTTTGAGCTCATCGCAAGATTTTCCTGCCTCCTCCGTCAGCTTAAATTGCCCATTTCCTTTCAGACAGTCAGTCAGAGGAGCCGAGAGTGCCGAGAAATTTCGGATAAACCGCCGATACCAGCCAGCTGTCTCCAAAAACCTCCGGATTTGTCTCACGTTCCTTGGCATTGGTATTTGGGTGATCGCCTGTACTTTCTCCGGATCTGTCCTAAGTGCGCCGTCGCCTACGATGTACCCTAAATACTTTAAATATTTATAGCCGAATTTCGATTTTTTTCTTCCAATTGTCAGGTTTGCCTCCTTGAGACACTTGGCCACTTCCTCTAACAGGTGTATATGCTCCTCAAACGTCCGGGAAATAACTAGTAGATCGTCTAAGTATACAAAGACATGGCTTCGGAGTCGTTGTGGAATTACTCGATTCATCAACCGACACAGCCGGTGAGCTGCATTGCTCAACCCGAAGGGCATCGATTAAAATTGATAGAGTGGTCTGCCCGGCACCGTGAATGCTGTGTACGTCCGACTTTCAGGCTCCAGACGCAACATTTCGTCCACCTCGGCAAACAACAGCTCTTGCACCGCGGGAGATACCGGGTAGAATCGCTCCTTTACGGGTACGGCTCCCTCGATTAATTGAATTTCGTGCCTTTCGATCGTCGTTCTTCGCAAACCATGTGTGTCGAATGCCCTGAAGTTGCTCTTCACCTGGTCCAGACGTGTCTGCTGCGTGTGCGTCAACTCGTGCGGTTCCGTTGGTCTACTCCTAGTCAGCACCTCAGCATCAATTTCGGCTAATTCCTTGTGTCGTTCTAGGCCTACTATATGCGGAGCCAGACCAAACTTCCGCCAGAAATCGACCCCTAGGTACAGCGGTTGTTTCAGCGAGGGACACAGGAACAACTCCATAGTCTGCTTCTGGCCTCCATACGTCATTACCGTCGGCACATGTCCCAGTATTTTATGAGGAGTGCCGCCCGCTGTTTGTACTGAGAATTTCTTTATGTCTTGAAGTTTCAGCTCCAATTCTCCTATCAGTTCCAGGCCACCTTTCCCCAGAAGGCGCACCGATGCCCCTGTATCCAGTAGTCCCATCAGCGTCCTCGGGCCCAACTTCACTCGTGCGAATGGCCTGTCATCCTGACGCATTGCCGAGTGGACTGCTGCACACACCTGGAGCCGCCTCCTCTTGCGCCCCTGAAACCTGTCCCGAGCCCGCTGTGCTCTGACTGCTCCCGTTCGGATACTCTCATCGGCTTCGTCCCCCATTATCCGATTCCTGGCCTTCCGGCTTCCGTTCGGACCATCTAGCTTCGGGTAATACAGCTTGGTTAACCTTATATATGGTAGTGTAAATATCCTTATTGCTACTTCTTTCCTTAGGGGTATCTAATTTAACGTTGGAGAACCTATCCATTGGCTGCTTCGCGGCGACGTGGAACTCGACTCCTCCAATTGCGTCGTGCTCCTTTTCGCGTTTCCCGGCCGACATTTAGGGCATTTAGGGAGGATGACCCCGGCCAGCCCGCACTTGTAGCAGAACAGGTTACGCACGGCCGACTCACACTCAATAGGTGTGACCCGGCTAAGCGCAATTCCAGCACCTCAGCTGGGTGCGATCGCCTCCGGGTTCCCTCGTCCTATGGACAGCATCCAATGCCTCGGTCTGTTCCTCCGGGTCGTGAGTGTTCGCATCCAATTCATGTACTTTGTGCTCTTCCCTGCGCCTACTACCCCCATGGTCTGGACCGCTCCTTGTCCATCGCGTCGCCAGCAGTTTCTCGGCGTCCGCACACTCTTCTCGTAGCTTCTGTAGATTTGGTATCTGCATTGGATAAATCACCCTCGAAATTGCATCCCTAATATTGATCTTTATGATCCTTATTAGATCATAATCCGAGAACGGATTCAGCAATCTCGACCTCAACACCAACATCTCCTGGATGTACTGGTCCGCCGACTCCCCGTGGCGTTGTCGGCGTTCCCTGAGCTCTTGCTCTCGCTCTCGCTCGAACTCTGTCCGACGAACTTGAAACTGCTGCTGGAGACCATATCTCAGATTCGGCCAGTCCGGCATTCCTACCGTCCGAACATGCATCCAGTACCAATCCCTTGCGTGGCCACTGACCAATGTGTGAAAGGCTTTCAACACCTCCGCCCACGGTACCTGATACGGCGTCTGTAGATGCTCCACCCGGAATACGAATTCCACCACGGGCATCCCCTTTGGGTCGCCGTCGAAGCTAAGTCCCCATCTTCGTATCTGCACTTGCTCCTGCCTAGCCTCTCCGAAACTCGGTTTGCTCCTGCGCCCATCCCGTTGAACAGCCACTCATCCACGGGTCTCTGATCGGCTTGGGTCCTCTGATCGGCCTCCAATGTTCGGTTGTCCACGAACAAGTGCGTTGGATGTGCTTGCTGGTTCGCGGGTGCTTCCTGTTGACCTCCTCCCAGACTGGTTGCATTTGATCCCCGATTCCTTCCATTCGCATCACTCGCCGTTCGCTCCGCTTTTAACGAACCCACCACAGCGTTGATCTCTCGCATGAACTCTAGCATGTCCGCTTGCATTGACGATCTCAGCGCTTCCATTTGCTGCCCGAGCGACGCTCGGTAGGTCTCCTGTGCTTGGGCTAACGCTGCGTTCACGGCTGAGCTTAACTCGGACGGTAACACCAGGTCCTTACGGATTGGCTGTTGACCTCCTACCGCTCCGGCCTCTGGGTCCTCCTGGTACAACCCCGCATGTACGTTTTCCGCCACCTGCGACGGCCCTTCCGGCCTACTGCCGGCTTTACCGTCCTGGGACCGCGTCGTCGGCATGTTGTACGGCTGGTACCTGCGCTGTGCCTCTGGGCTACGCCTTGTCTATCCCGACCCTTTAAAAATCTCCGGTTCACTCATCAACCAATTCTCCTAACGTACTCCTTTCCTTCGTCTATTCCCTATTTACTTAACTATCTTGGTGATAAATAAATTGGATTGTTTATTATCCGACTACCCTACTCCTCTAAACACCTAGTTCATGTTTAATTAATCCTTAATACCTTCAATCGTAACGAGAAAACAAATAAATAAATAGTGCAATAAATAAATAAGCGAATAATTAGTTCAATGTTTAGATAACCAAATAAATAAATTTAAATACATAAATCGGTTAATTTAAATCAATAAATTGATAAATCTAAATATCTAAATTGATTCAATCAAATAAATAAACACCTACATCTACAATTAATCGCCTAATTAAATACAACACTAAATAACTAAATACTTCCTCTCCCAAACAAAAACTCTTTTTCCGATGACTTGCCTAATGCCTACATCTAAAATTGCTTCCAAACAATGCTAGCGAGGATCGTCAGTCCTCAAAAAAAAAGGTGACAGACTCGGCAGATCCTCCGGCACCTCTTCCTCTTTTCAGATCCGGACAGCGAGCTCCACGAGTCGGACAACGAGGCTACTACCACCTGGTAATACCTGATAATACCACCTACTAATACCTGGACCACAACTCGGGACACACACTTCCTTTCCTTCTACCTCCGATACATAACTACCATGTCCATTTTCCTCACTTCTACTCCTCTCAGCGGCTACGACGGCTAGGATTTATTCCCGGCTCGCGGACCGGCTGAGTTTCGTTCTACCAGGGTTCCATTTTACACCGGGTCTTTAAGACTCGCGTTTAAAATCGATCCCTTCTATTACCATTGGGCGCCATTTGTTATGATCCGCCTCTTTGCCACCCTGGCCTATCTTTCCCAGCTAGCTCACGGGGAAGTCAGGGGTGTTTCCGACCCGATAAGCCAGGGGACGGATTGAACAAAACAAAAACAAAAAAAAACAAATATAATTTATAGGACAGACTTGTCCTTTGGCACTTTCGTCAGCGGGGATAGTTGGTTTTGTTATCCCTAGCACGGTCCCACCCTTCCATGAGCGCCACCTTTTGAATTCGCGCGCTCCCTTTTCATATTCAGGGTCCCGCTCTTCTTCTCGCTCTCGTCCCACCCAACTACCGTTTTCTATTCACTCATGACTACGTTTCACTTTCATATTATATTCATGTTATATTTTCTTATTTATCCATTTTTTTTTACAATATTAATTAATAACCTAGATTCTGCCGACGAATACAAGTACAAATACAAAAAAATACTAACAGAAAAATTAACCCTATCTCGGCCGAATTGGCCATTTAAAGTTGTTGTTTCCTTAATCTCGCGGATGTCTATGTTTGATCGAGGTCGGCTAGAAAAATGCAATAGTGAAAACTCATTTAATCTCATTAGGGCTGTCGAAAGATAATTATATGGACATTAAAATTGTTTAACTTTATACCAGGCTTCCATTTTATTAATTCATAAGGGGATAAAAACATGTTAATTGCATTTCTGTTCCGCAAAAACGGATTTATACAATATTCTAGTGATTTCTCCGAGCATTATCGTCACCAAAAATACATTCAAACAAGCTGTTGCATACAAAATTTGAATCTTTAACAGATTTTATTTGTAAGCCAACACTAAACAGTGTAACCGTTAAGCATGTATGTCCGTCCATATGTGAAATATAGCTTGTCTAAATATATAGCATGCACATCTGGTCACACTCTATCCCGAGTAAAATATATAAATATATATCTTCAAATACCAGCAACATTGCGACTGTTTTTTTTGTTGAACTATTTTGTTTAAACCTTGTTTTAATCAAAATACAATAAAAGCAAGTACTAAAAACTAGCTAATATTGTAGAAAATTGATTCATCAATGACCTAAAATAATGTGGGCAGAAATAACGATTTTAGTTATCCAGAATTATTCAACGGAATCTCTATATTCAACAATATGAACGACTATCCTCTTTCGTTATTTTGTTTGACCAATTTCACTAAAATCTTTTCCTGTTATACCTATTTCGCTAAAACCTTTTTTTAGACAAGATCCAAACAAAGCGAGTATTTAAAATAAGCCAGTTAAGTAGAAAATTAATTCATCAATCTTATAAAACTATGTGGGCATGGCTAATTACTCCATCTAGCCAGTAATATTTAACGGAATATCAAAATTGAAAAATTTGAATGACTACCCTCTTTGGTTGTTTGTTTTTTACCATTTTTGCCAAAAAGCAAGTATTTAAAATAATCCAGTCATTTAGAAAATAGGTTCATTAATTGGATAAAATTATGTGGGCATTGATAAATGTTCTATATAGCTAATAATATTCGAAGGAATATCAAAAAAGAGGAAAACGTTTAGTAGAACTTGAATTCGTCAGTATATTTACGGTGTATTTTTAAAATGAGACGGTATATTTTGGTATATTTCTGATGGTCGGGCAGTATATTTTAACGATAGATCCGCGGTCACACTGCACACTGTTTATTTACAAATAACGGTTCGGGAAGACGACGTCGGAAGTGCGGCGCAGAAATTATTTTATTATTGAAAGTGATACCACAACGAGAGCTCTGTTGCACATTCGGAAATTTGCGGAAATTTTTATCGCAAAAGAGCTGAGCACGAATATTGTAAAAAATACAACAAACAATTCGTTGAAAAGTGCGAGAGACAAGAACGAACAAACGGACAATAAATAGAAACAACGTCAACCCGTTCTCAGTCGAAACACATACATACATACTTAAATAGTATTCAAAGCATGAATCTATCATTTGCGGGTTGCGGATTCTTGGGCATCTACCACGTCGGAGTCGCCGTTTGCTTTAAGAAATATGCTCCACACCTATTGCTAGAGAAAATTGGTGGAGCTTCGGCCGGTTCCCTGGCAGCATGCTGCCTGCTCTGTGATTTGCCATTGGGTGAGTTTTGTGTTATTTTATTTTTTTTGCCGTTTGAACCTATGAATGTACATACATGCATATATGCCTAAGTACATAGAACAGCTGACTCCGGTTCAGCGACTTGTTATTGCGTGAATATGAAATTAGTTGATGGCCTGTTTATGGTTTGTGGGTCGCAACGAACTTAGTTCGAGAACCTACGGGTTGTCTGTTGTGTGAGAGTGTTCCAAATTGTCGAAGGGGGCTCGTCTCTGCTATGAAAACTACGACGCAGCTGAAATCCACACGAAAACATATTCGATAGGCCGGGACAACGTACTTTTGTAGAGCAGCGACCAACAGCAGAAACAAATAAATGGGCGGGCTACACAAACACAAACACACGCATACACATCGCATTTACATTCGTACGCATTCTGTGTGTGTGTGTGTTCATGTATACATATACTTTTATCGAGATGCTGAAGGTCGAGCAAGCTGGTTGTTTTGTTTAGCTTGGGAGGCGCGTTCAACGGAACTTACATATTTCGGAATGTGATGAAAATAGGTTTTGTTATTGTAAAAGTCGATGTATGTAGTATATAAATAGCTGTGGGATGGGATATGTATAAGTCTTGCGTTTTGTTATATATTTAAATGTGCTTGTGTGCGTGTGGGTGTGTAACGCTCCGCTTGTAGAATGGGTATAAACATGTCAATCAAAAGGGGACACAAACTAAGGGGAGATCAAAACAAATGTGGCAGAGTATTACTCATGGTTTTTGTGTAATATGTACGTACATACGATTCGACTACGAGTATGCACAGTTGCCTTACGGCCTTATCATTTGACCAATGGAGCAGTGGCACGCGGTCGCCATCTACAATCGGCAGGGAATAACGTCAGCAGCGTTCGATCGTTAAAATAATCAATCGACTTGGGTCGTTCGATGATGATCATCACCCCCAGCTGTCGCTGCCACTGCCACTGCCGCTGCCGCTGCCGATGGATGTCTCTGCTATGCTCAATTTCCATTGACTTTGCTTCCAACGACGCAGAGGGGGAGTGCATCACTCTGGATTATATTATTCCCTTTTGCATATTTGGCTCTCCTCTCATTGCACTCTCACTGCTGTTTCCTCCTTCTCCTTCTCCTACCTGCCTGCCATTGTTGCAGCTTGCTGCTGGAACCCTCTTGCTGTCTCTCCGAATCTCTCGCTTATGCCAGAAAGTTCGTCCGTCAGATGCCTGTGCATTTGTAACAGGTAAAGCAATTCGTTAGACACACACACACACATACACGCACACAAGACAGTGGGAACCGTAATTTCAGTAACCACTTTAATTGCGGCAATTAAATTTGGTCGACTGCATTTTGATCTCTGATTCACCCAAGTGCTGCATCTAGTGTGGACTTTTAATTGTTTTTAGTTGGGTAACCTCCGGCTTGGCGTCGGTTCTAAGTACAGTAGCGTAGCCGCAAAACAAAGAGATGATTTGTTCCGCCAGCAGATGGGATATGTGAAAGTTTTTATTATCCGAAATGTACCTTGCCCCAGCCCCGGGCCCACATTTAGGAAGCGATGACCAGAGAAAACTGCGCCACAAATCAGATTTTACCTTATGAAACGAACTGTACTTGGCTGATAAGAGCCTTTCAAGTTGAAACCATTCCCATTCCCATTCATGATCGCGCTTTTATAACCATTTTTATCAGCCGTGGTTTCCTGTTCGCGAACCACTCGAACGAGTCCGGCATTCATTCGTGTGGCCCTTGTTTAGAGATCATCTGATTTTTGTTTTCAATATTCTTCGCATTGTAAATACAATACATATTTAGTTACACTGCAATGACGCTGCCAAGGGCCTGTTCCCCGAGATGTTATCAGTGGGTGTAAATTGCCTTGTTTTGATTGATTTTCCATGGAGTTCAAGAGCAAAGTCAGACCTGCGGCGGAATTTCTAAATGCAAATATGTATATGTATTTATTTTTAGTTAATACAAGCCAATGGCCGACCTTCAAGCGTCGTGTTACTCTCCTGCAATCAAAAATTTTAGAAATCTTAACTGCAATTCATCATCGGACACACACACACACGCGCACACATTCGTACGAATCTGTATGTGTATTCATTGCTTATCGGCAGAAATTACCTTTACCGGTACCTTATCATGTGGTGGGAGTCATGTTTATTGTGTGCCGTGCCCGTGCCGTGCCGTGCCATGCCGTGTCCTCTGATTGCCGTCGCCCAAAGTCCAAGTTTAGGGTGTATCAGATATACGTACATACATACATATATGCACATTGGGTGATTCGATTTTTGTTACATATTGCAATATGAGTCAAGTGCAGATTGTGTGTTAATTTAAGTCGCACAATGAGCTCTTTGTTTGGCTTAGATTGATCATTATCTATGTACATACTGGCACTTATAATAATACAACAATATAAATACATATCCCTGCACCGCACTTGACGTCAATTGCTTTGGGGCTTAGTTCCCTATGTCCAACCGATTAGAGCACAAAGCAAATAATTACAAATGCACATGTACATACGCATGCATGTACATATGTGTGTATTTACAGTTAATTTGCAGCTGGCTTTTATAATATGCATATGGCCGCTTATCAGCCGACTGCTTTGTGGTGGGGTCCTCTATGAGCGGCGTATCTTTCAGCGATCTCGGACACAATCAATCGGCAATGTAAATGGGGTTTGAGCATTATAGCATCATTGTTGATTGACACAGTTTCTTTTGCGGCACAAAAAACTAATCGGCAGAGCGTGTAGATAGCGTTACACACAAGCTGCTTCTCATTCGCGTAAATCCAGCTGAAGGGCAGCTGTGGCACAGCTCTCTGTCCCTCTCCCCCTCTCGCTTTGAAACCACCCTGAAAAACAGCAAAAGAAAGTCGTAGCATTTCCCAAAATGCATCCCAAAATCCGTTGCCAAGTGCAGAACGGGCATGGCCTCGCCTGCCCTCTCCTGACATTGCAACGTGACCTACATACATATACATGAAAACAGAAAACTTGTACAGTCCAAACAATAAGTATGCCCACCTTTCGGTGGGAAGCTTTTTAAGCTTCATTGAACGAACAGTTCTTGTCTCTCTATATCCATAAAACTGTTGTTCCCACTGTGCGTACACACACACACACACACACACATTGCGTAGAGGCGGAAGAAGCAGAAGTTCTTTCCCAATACAACCACAATATCACGTGATGAGGCGTTTTTTTTTTTTTGCCCTCACAAGTGCGAGCGGAAGAGGAGATGGAGAGTCGAGTCGGAGCATGGCGTGGCTTCTTGCCAGCGAAACGGGGGTGTGTGCCGCTTCCGCTCCCGCTCCCGAAGCCGCTGCCCTCTGGCACCTCTCTTTTGTTGAAAGTTTGTTGCCTTCGGCGTTCCATGGAAAGCAGCAACAAATGCATGCGTTTGTGTTGTATGTCGTGTACATGTACATACATATGTATCTTGTCTGCTCGCACACGCACCCGTGCCATGTGATGAAAACTTGTTTGTTTATCCATTCCATTCGAGTCGAGCCCCCAAGAAATTGTACACATGCATATACATATGTACATATGTATTTTTGTTGCAGCAGCAGCTCTCTGTTTCGTTTCTCTTTGTCTCCACGTTTGTCGTTTTGTGGCTGTTCGGTTTCCCGTTATGTGCAACCGCCAGTTGTGCACTTGACTTGCGGTTACGTTTGCCCGACGGGCAATGAGAGAAATGAATCTGGAAATGATCTTCTGATTCTTCTCATATAAATGTATCCCTTAATTAATTATTTGTCCCCTGCAAAACAATAACAACAACAATTAAAGACTGCACGTAATCCGATAATCCGATAGCGTTGTTTATTTGCATAGAAATATGTATGTATGTATGTACCTCCCTAGTTTATTGTTGTTGACAGAACGGAAAGCAGAATATCACGAAAACAAATTTGATATGTAGGTGGCAACGGGGGCGAGGGGAGGGAATGGGACCCCACACTTGTGGCCACGGGCCAGCTCTTCGGCACGATTCCAAACTTCAATTGATAGTTCAATGTCAAACATATTGTAGATACTAGGTGCTTTCATAATCGACGATAAGATGCATTAAATCATCATATAATCAGTAACTAACTATGGTTAGTTTTTCCCCCTTATCTTAGTACCAATGCACATGACACGAGGGGGCTATCGGGCAGACCCCAAACCCCAAAGCCCAGACAACAGACCAGACTATCGTTTTGTCTTGTCTGATGGCCTGATTTTAATTCGCTTTGCGTCAATTTCTGGAATACATTAAATACATGGAAGGCAGATCTTTAGATGTGCACGACTCTCTCTCTCTGTGTGTGTTTGGTGGCCTTATCATTCGATGTAGGCCTCTGCCTCTCCGTTCGAATCTAATCGAAATATTTGGAAAGTGCTGGGCCATGGGAAGCAGTTTTCTTATCAGCATTGGCACATGGCACAGGCCACACGCGAAACTAATGTACCACACATACAGTGCGTTTCATAACTCGATGGCACTTTTAATATTCGCATATTATTGGCATAACTCCTGTGGAGTCTGGTGGATTTTCGTAACTATTATCCGATGGAGGAGTGAATAGTTACATACATTTAGGCAACGCACTGTATCTGCGATTCCACACTACATGTGTGTGTGTATGCGTATAAACCATATGGTGGTCGGGGGCTCCATAGTTGCGTGGCTTATCAGCGGGCGCGTTAATTAATTGCGTGCCTTGGGGGTCGAATAAAAACAAACACTTCCAAACCACTCAAGGCACTCAAGGCTTGCGCGTCATTTCCTATCATAACCGAGTAGAGCACCAATGGCAGCGGCAGTGCCAAAGCCAGGAACACTATGTGACCCTTTGGATGACACAATGACGCACAAACCCCAGAGCATCATCAGACACGGCAGATCTGCTGATAGCCCCGCCAAAAACAAAGGCACAAACAAAATCTATTATACAAGCCTGATTAGCGGAAACTATCAAAATACGACAACTACTAATCGAAAGCGTCCTCCTTCGCACCTCCTCTCTTTGCAGGCAGCATGACATCGGACTTCTTTCGGGTGGTGAACGAGGCGCGGCGCTATTCACTGGGTCCCTTCAGTCCCTCCTTCAACATACAGACCTGCCTGCTGGAGGGGCTGCAGAAGCATCTGCCCGACGACGCCCACAAGCGCGTCAACGGACGGCTGCACATCTCCCTGACCCGCGTCTACGATGGCAAGAATGTGATCATCTCCGAGTTTGAGTCGCGCGAGGAGGTGCTGCAGGCGCTGCTCTGTGCGTGCTTCATACCGGGCTTCTCGGGGATTCTGCCGCCACGGTTCCGGGGCGTTCGCTACATGGACGGCGCCTTCTCCGACAATCTGCCCATTCTGGACGAGAACACCATCACGGTCAGTCCGTTCTGCGGGGAGAGCGACATCTGTCCGCGGGACCAGAGCTCCCAGCTGTTCCACCTGAACTGGGCCAACACCAGCATCGAGATCTCCAGGCAGAACATCAATCGATTTGTACGGATTCTGTTCCCGCCGCGGCCCGAGTTTCTCAGCAAGTTCTGCCAGCAGGGCTTCGATGATGCCCTACAATTCCTGCATCGCAACAATCTAATCAACTGCCGCCGCTGCGTGGCGGTACAGTCCACGTTTGTCGTCTCCGAGACAGTGGCCCAGCCGCAGGAGTTCGACCCAGAGTGCAGGGAGTGCAAAAAGCATAGAAAGGTACGAGGCTCTACACCTTTTTCACTCGCTGTAAGCAGAGCTCATCTTACAGTCCATGCCTTTGACTATTTGCAGGACGCTTTGAGCTCAAACATGCCACAAACAGTTCTGGATGTGATACAGGACTACATCGAGCAGGCGAACAAGGGCCTGGCCAACTGGATCTTCAAGCATCGGGGCATCAAGCTGCTCTCGCTGCCAGCCACAGTGCCCATGGACTTTTTCCTGGCCACCATATCCAAGTAGGTTCGCCCCAGCACACACTGTCGAATCGAATGTAACTCTCGAACTTTCCCCAGAATAACGACCCTGACACCCAAACTCACCAAGCAAGCGCGACAAATGGTGGAGGAGTTGATCAACCAATTGAACAACGCCATGCAAATACGCCTGCTCAATAAATTCACGGTGAGTAGATTTGAACCATTTCACTGGAGGAATACAAAGTAACAATCGTTTGACCGCATGATCTTGCAGCTGTATGATCAGCCGCACTTCGATGCCACTGGACTGCTTCACTCGAACCGATTATATGGACCCAGAGTCTCCATTCTGGTGGATGAGTGGTAAGGAGATTTAGAACGAAAAGCCTTCAGAAGAACAGTTGCTTACGAACGAAATGAACGAATTTTAGCGGTGCCACTCCCCTGGAGGACGATGTCGACAACTTTGAGCACGTTCTCAAGATGACCACGCACAACGATGCTCTCTACGCCTACTACTACACCGACAACAACACGAACAAGGTGAAGGTGACCGAGATCTTCGACTTCGATGATATGACGGAGCACGATGAACTGGCCACCGACCTGCAGATCTACGAGGGCTCCGTCGAGGACCATCCGAATCCCCACCAGCACAGCCACAACACGGTCGTCAGCGAGTGGAATGGCGTCGAGTCAGGTTGGTAGCCCAAACAGCCCCATCATAGTACGACGCATCGTATCATCCACTAGACGGGATTCAACATTATTTGTAAATTGAACGAAAACCAAAACTTTCTTACAGTACAAATCATGCCCACGACTCCCGAACTGCACGACGTAGCCTTTTAAAGCACTCCATCCAAGCACACTATTCATCGTACTTTTCATGCACCTCATATATGTATATTTAGCCTTCTTAAAGTCCAAATCGTATACCATTGGCAGGTAAATGATATGATCCAAATTGAACGTCCACACCACACATGTTGATTGTCTCCCCGTAAAAAATTCATTCATTCATTCCCACAACAAAACACACAACGAATATAGTATGATGTCTTCAAAATTGATGTTAACTCATTTGTATTCTTCGCAGACTTTTTCATCGATGCTCAGACGCCAAACGTGGATGTACCGAAACCAACGAACGCGCCACAATTTCTTCCCCGACTGGACTTTGAGGCCGAGTCAGACGCTAGTGTCCTCAGTGATCCCGAGGCGGATCAAAGTTTTAGTGCCTCTACGCAAAACAACGACATGTACATAGAAATTGAATGAGAGATGAGATGAGCCATAAGCCAGCAGCCATCAGCCAGCAGCTAGCAGCGAACGTAACTTTAGTCTCGTCATATGAACTGTAACGAAACATCTCCAAAGCGGCTCGTAGCAAAGCGAAAGGCCTTTGTAGCCTTAGTTTCCATTAGAATGTAATCCTAGTTTTAGTACGACCAACGTATGTACCTAACTTAACATAGCGCGTATGCTGCCATTGTATCCCCTCTCCCCGCACATCCCGTCAGCCTGTAAGCGGCAATTAGAAAGTAATTGCCTTCTTGTTATTAGAAATGGAGGCGGAACTCGCTCTCCTCACACGACTTGTAATACCCATGCCCAATTGTCTTAGATCTAAGTTGATAAACTATAAAATAAAATAAAATACAATAAAATAAATCGCGAAGAAACAAAATACAATTTTCAATTAAAAAATTTAAATTCCAATAACGATTGCACGACCGATAACTTTCGGGAAAAGATACCATTCTTAAAGTTCGATACATTTCAACGGAAGGCTACACTGCTTTTTCTTGTAATCAATTTTTAAACGTACATATGTATGTATACTTTTGAACAAAGGGTACAGAAACTTCCACTTGCAGGTTTTTTAAATTTTGTCTCTCTCAAATCGTACTTCCCTGCATAATTTATTTCAAGGGATTGCATTTAAATATCCTTGTCGCTCATTCACCTTCAAGCAATTTCTATTGGGCGCTCAAGTTGGGTAGGACTTGCTCTCTGTTTTTTGGAAGTTGCTCTCTATTTTGTGGTAGGATATCCTCCCTTCGTGGAGGGATTTTTCGTCTGTACAATTTCCCTGCAGCAATGAAGGGAGAAGTTACCTGACATTCCATACTTACTTATTTTTGTGGACCTTTTTTTCCTAAACCTTGTTTTAAACACAATTCAATAAAAGCAAGGACTAAAAACTAGCTAATCATATAGAAAATGTATTCATCAATAGACTAAAATTACGTGGGCTGAGTCTTAGTAAGCCAGCATTATTCAACGGAATATCAAAATTGAGCAATAGGAACGATTACTCACTTACGTTTTATTTGTTTGGCCTTTTTCGCTAAAACATTTTTTCTAGACACAATCTAATAAAAAGGAGCAGTTAAAAAAACCAGTCAAGTAGAAAATTGATTCATTAATTGGATAAAATGATGTGGACAAGGCTGAGGATTCTATCTAGCTAGTAATATTCGACGGAATATCAAAAACGAGGAATATGTATGATGGGACTTCAATTATTCGTCAGTACATTTACGGTATATTTTGAAATACGGGAAATAGTTTCGGTATATTTCTGAGGCTTGGACCGGATAACATATACATCAATAAATCCGCGGTCACACTGGACAGAATCTACTCCTGTTGTTTTTGTTTAAATTTTACTTGCAAAGAAAACAATTAATTGTAATTATACACTGAGTGAAAAGGCAGAGAGGCGGACTCACCATGGAAGCTGTGCCACGCCTGCATATGCTATGGTTTGCCCTAAAATCCAGCCCGGAGGGCACCTCCTTTGCGCCTCTGAAGAAGGTAATGACCCAAGAAAAGAGAGCCGAAAATGGAGAGAGAGCAGCAACAATAGCAACAATAGACTCCCCTGAAAATTGCAAGTATCTTTCGAGAAGCGAAATAACTGCGCTGCAGCTGGTAAAAAGTCGGCAGACATCCCCTCCGCCACACTGCCCCTCTGCAACTCGGTCTGTGCATTGGCCTGCCTTTGTTATGTGCGCTCTGAGCTGAGTCATCGTCTGATTAGCCCTCCCAGATGTGTGGGCAGAGGGAAAACAAACCCGTGAGCCGAGTCATAAGCAAATAATTGATCTGCCCGTCTTATTCCCCCCCACAGTATATAGCCGAGTTCTATCATGAGGATCCCGAGGCATATTCGAAGGAGGTGCATGCCCTGGAAACGCTGCGGAATCAGGCCATGCGCACCACCAATGATGGAGCACCCGTGATGAAGCGCTACTACTGCCAGCTTCACGCCCTGCAGAATCGCTTCCCCCAGCTGGCCGACAAGGGGATCTTCACCTTCACCTGGAAGGACCTCCACCACAGTACCGTGCACGAGGTCACCGATATACGTTACGAGCGGGCAGCCGTACTCTTCAACATCGCTGCCTCCCACACCCAATCGGGGGCCTCGGCGATGCGCGGCGATGTCGATGGCATGAAAATGGCGTGCACTGACTTCCAGGCCGCGGCCTGGGCCTATAATGAGCTGCGGGAACGCTATGCGAATGTGAACAATGGCGGCGACTTCATGACCACCGAGCTGCTGGTCTACCAGCAGCAGGTGTGCCTCGCCCAGGCGCAGGAGTGCATTTTGGAGAAGTCGCTGATCGACAACCGCAAGCCGCACATTGTGGCCAAGGTGACGGCCCAGATTGTTGTCTACTACGGTGCCGCACTGGCAGCTCTACTCACCGGAGGCGACGATGGTCCTGTGGCCCAGGTCATCAACGCCTCTGTCTACAAGCTGTGGAAGAAATACGTGCGCTTCAAGATCAACTATCTGAACTGCATCCTCTACCTGTACCAGGGCCAGAACGCGGAGGAGAAGCGCCAAATGGGCGAGCGCGTAACGCTCTACCAGGTGGGTACCTAGAGCTCCCTCTAGACTGACTGTATAACCCATAAATTCCATTCCAGGCCAGCTGGGATAAGCTGGAGGAGGCCCGCAAAGAGTCCAAGGGGCTGCCCGATCAAACGGAGATCAATGAGTCCCTCAGCTTCACCGCAGACGTGGTAGAGGCGAAGCGCAAGAATGCCAAAAACGAGAACGAGTTCATCTACCACGAGGCCGTGCCAGAGCTGTCCACCATTGCCGCTGTGCAGGGGGCCAACCTGGTGAATGGCATTGGCTTCCAGGTGACCGATGAGGAGTACGCCGGGGCGGACATCTTTGCCCGCCTGGTGCCCATGAAGGCGCACGAGGCCAGTTCCATGTACAGCGAGGAGAAGGCCAAGTTGCTGCGCAAGTACGGGGCCCTGCTGGAGGAGAAGGACGCCCAGCTGGAGAGCTACATGAGCTCCCTCACCCTCGACAACCTGAACATCAACGAGGAGCAGGCCAACAAGCTACCCCAGGGGATCGTGGACCGCTGCGCCGCCTTGCACGCGAACAAGACGGCGATCAGCGACCTGATCGAGGCCATGTCGCAGCTGGCCGAGATCACCACCGACGTGGAGACGAATCTCGGCGAGCTGACGCACATGCTCGAGGAGGAGGCCAGGGCGGAGAGGGAGTTCCAGGCGGCCAGCGGTGTCCAGCGCACACCCAATGCCCACATCACCGAGCTGACGCGGGAGTTTCAGAAGTACAGCGAGGCCCATGCCCGGGCCGGGGAGTCCAACAACACCCTGCGGAAGGCCATGAGCCTGCACGTGAACAACCTGAAGATCCTGGCCCGTCCCCTCCAGGAGATCCAGCAGCTGATGCCCAAGCTCAGCTCCGAGCTGAACACCGCGGAGATCTTCAAGGACGTGAAGCTGGTCCTCAACAAGGTCAACGAGATGAAGGCCCAGCGCGCCCAGTTCCATGCCGACCTCCGCATAGCAATAAACGAGGACGACATCACGGGCAAGGTCATTGCGCACGGGGGAGGGCGGCAGGAAGGGCTGCAGGCCCTGTTCGTCGCGGAGATGGCCAAGCACGAAAGGATCACCCAGCTGCTGGACCAGAACCTGCTGGCCCAGCAGAACATTCTTCAGGCGCTCACCGAGAACTACGCCAAGGCCGCGCCCGTGCTGAAGACCCTCCAGGACGTCAAGCAGAAGCGGGAGCACTTCTACAGCTCGCTGGCAGCCTCCTACGATGTGTACGAGGATCTGCTGGCCAAGTCCGCCAAGGGCCTGGAGTTCTACAAGAAGCTGGCGGGCAATATCCAAAAGCTGCTCAGCCGCTTCAAGTCCGCCCGCGACGTGCAGTCGGAGGAGCGGCAGCAGAGAATGCAGAGCGTCAGGGCCGCCGTCACGCCCAGTAAACCCGCAGCCGAAGTGCCGCCAGCGGTCAATGGTGGAGGGGGAGCAGGAGGAGGAGTAGGAGTAGGAGTAGGAGTAGGAGTGGGGACACCAAAGCTACGGGACTACCTCAAGGCGAAGGGAGCCACCGCGGCCAGCATTGCCTCCGGCATGGTGCTCACTCCGGATGCCACAATTGCTACTCCCGCAGCAGCAGCAGCTTCCTCGTATGTGCACACAGTGCGTCCAGTGCCTGTGGGCTCGGAGAATCCCACGCAGGCGGCGTGCTCTGCCTATGCGACGGCTCCGCCGAACGAGCCCCCGCCGCCGTACAGCCTGCAGCAGCAGCAGTACTACGATCCCAGTGCGGCGGGCTACACGAATCCCATGTACCAGCAGCAGCAGCAGAACATCGCTCCGCCGGCCTACAAGGCGCAGCCTTCGCCCAACTCGCAGACCCTCCACGGGGCCATGGGGCAGCTCAATTTGCAGCAGTCGCAGGACGGCAGTCAGGTGGGATCGGTGTCGGGATCGGCCTACAACTACAACTACAATCCGAATGCTGCAGTGCCCCTGCAGCCTCCGCTGCCCTACGCAGCTCCAGCAGCGTCCAACGCGCAGGGATTCAACTACCAGCAGCCCCTGTATGTGGCCACATCATCGAGCTCGAATCCCGGCGAGATACCAGCTTCGCTGCAGGCCCCGTACGTGGTCAATCCCGCTCCTTCGGCGGCCTATCAAACGGGAGGAGGAGGCTACCCACACCCTGCCTCGATATATCCGCCTCAATCGTCAGAGGCCTATCACCAGCCCTCGGCGGGATATCCTTCTGCGCAGCAGCCTCAGCAGGCCATGAATTATGCTTCACCTCATCAGTCCACGGGATATCCCCCATCACAGACGCCCCAGCAACAGCTTGCTGGATATGCCCAGTCGCAGTCGCAGTCCCAGACGCTCCAGCATCAGCCTACCGCAGGCTATCCTCATTCCCAGACGCCCCAGCAGCAGCAGCCCCCAGGATATCACCAATCCCAGGCACCGCAACCAGCCACCGGTTATCCTCATGCCCAGACGCCCCAGCAGCAGCAGCCGCAGCCCCCGGGATATCCCCAGTCCCAGTCCCAGTCGCAGACACCGCAGCAGTCGATGGTATATTCTCAGCAACCCTCCGGATATCTTGCGCAGCAGCAGCCAGCCATGGGCTATGGGCCTCAACAACCCTCGCTGTATCCATCGCAGGCTGTCCAGGCATCCCCCCGATCCACGGCGGGACACCAATCTTCGCCGGGTCCTTCGGTGCCAGCATCCCAGCAGTATCCCCAGCAATACGGTGATCTCCAAGCGACAGTATATCCCGCGACTGCTGCTGCTGCTGCTCCGGCTCCAGCTGCTGCCACCGCTTCCAATCCTCCGGTAGCCTCCAGTCCAGCTCAAGCTCCCACTCCAGCTCCCACTCCAGCTCCCGCTCCCGCTGCAACTCCCGCTCCCACGTACATCAGCTACTCCAACCATCCTGGCTACAGCTACAATCCGCAGACAGGCGCCTACGAGTACAGCAGTGGCTACCAGCAGGAGAACATCTCCAAGCCGCAGGGCTCCCTGAACTATCAGTTCAGCCAGAGTGGAAAGCAGCAGGCAGCCGTGGTTGGGACTACGGACTCGGAGAGTGCCAATCGCAGTAATCCAGCCACAGGATTCGATGTGAGTACAGTCGTCGCAGTAGAGTCCTTTCGACATACATTTATATTCACGATTTCCCTCCTCAGTCGCCCATTGTTTCGCACACCAAGGCGGGAGCAGGCACAGGCACAGCCACAGGCCCAGACAGAGCCACAGCTGCCAATGAAGCAGCTCCCCAGCAGCCGGGAGGAGGAGCAGACACATCCAATTACTACACGCCACCCTACGGCCATCATTCCATGAGCGAGCACATCGGAGGAGTCCCTGAATCGCAGCAACAGCAGCCACAGCAGCAGCAGCAGCCCACCCCGAAGCCTACGCCGCGTCCATCGGGTTCCATTTACATGCAGAGCGGAGCCACCAGCATTGCCAACACTCAGACGACCACTAGCAGTGCGCCCTACGCCTCTTCGGCCGCGGCCAAGGATGCGGCTGCTGCTGCTGCTGCTGCTGTTCCTGTTGCTCCCAGCAATGTTGACCTGTTGAGCGACCTGGATATAGATTGCTCTGTTGCTGTGCCGCCTCCGATGTTGCCGCAGCCCCTGCTGCAGCCTCAGCTGGTGGCTGGTGGAACTCCGCCAGGCAGCCAGGTGTCGGCACCCATCAAAACGGAGAGCACTGTGGAGGTATGCGTATGAGACGGAATCCCTTAGAAACGAGTGACTATCCATGTAATCTGTTTCAGCCTGTTGCTCCCCCTGAGACATCCCCTGAGACATCACCTCCTACAGTTTCAGTAGCAGCAACAGCCACAGCCCCGGCCCCGGCCCCAGCCCCAGCCCCAGCCCCAGCAGCAGACTCATCTCCAGTAGCTCCGCCGGCAAGGACAACCAGCCTGGACAATCTTTCAAACTGCTCGGATCTGAGTTCGCTTGATAACTTTGATTGGGACTCGGTCTCGCTCACACATTCCGTCAGCAGCGAGAAGCAGCCCAAGCCCAGGCCTGCCGCCAATGGACATCCCAATAACTTTGCATTCCAATCCGAAAGGTTCACCGACGAGAAGACCACCAAATATTTCCAGAAAGAGGTGGAGAGCTACGAGAAGCTGCTGGAGAATCTGCACGTTAAGATGCTCAACGGCAAGACCCAGCTGGGGGCCAAGTGGCACGAGCTGCAGCAGATGCTGGACAAGGAGAGTGCCAGTGGCAAGCGATCAACGACCATTGCCAAGCTGTTCCCAGAAAAGAATCGCTCTCTGGACTGTCTGCCCTTCGACCATGCGCGCGTGAAGCTGGACAAGCAGACAGATGACTACATCAATGCGGCCTACATGAAGGTGTGTTGCTGTTGTCAGTATTCCATTTCCCTTTCCACTAAGATCGATCCACTTAATATCCCTGCCAGAACTTGAGCGCCAGATGTCCCAACTTCATCATTGCTCAGACGCCCCAGGCCAATACGATCAACGATTTCTGGTCCATGATCTGGTCGGAGAAGTCGCGAACGGTGGTCTGCCTGCATACCACAAACGAGGTGGGACTTGTCCACCACCATGTATGTCCTTCACTAACTCTGCTCTGTCCTGCAGCTCTTCGATCCGTTTTGGCCGCAGGCTTTGGATCAGCCCACTCACTACGACGACTACACGGTGACCTGTGTGAAGCTGCAGCAGCTCAGCCACTGCTCCGAGTATCAGCTGAGGCTGTCCATGCATGGGGCTGATCCTGTCCTGGAGCTGTCGCTGCTGCAGCTGAAGCAGTGGACCAAGGGGTAAGTACTTGGCACTACTCCTCCTCTGAGAGGGACTTATCAGCATTTATCAATCTAGGTCCTGCGCCCAACTGTTGGGCATAGCCGAGAACTCGTTGGACACACATCGGCAGCGCTGCCAGGCAGCCAGTGCACCCAGTTCGCCCCTGATCATGAGCTGTTTGACGGGCTCAGAGCGCTCCGAGATGGTGGTCATTGGCGTCTGCGCCCTGATAGCCACTCAGAGCAAGCAACCCACTCTGATAAGTGAGTTTGAGTTCGGGGGGGAAATAATTAGCTGTAGATTGTTGATTAATGTGCCTTCTCCCCACCAGATGTGGTTGATGTTTGGTCCCGCATTTGTGCGCAGCGTCAGAATTCGCTGCGGGACTCGGCCATCCTGGAGCAGGCCATGCAAATCGTGCTCTGCAATGCCCACAACGTGCTCAACCAGCGTAAGTGCCCACCGACATTCCAACCGACATCAAACAGAAATCCAATTGCTTGTATCCTACAGGTGGCATCATGACCTCATATCAAATGAAAATGGCACCGCAGGTCAACGCCAAGGAACAGCAGGAGACCAAGGATCCTCTAAACGAATTGGATGCACTCTGGAAACTTAAATAAATGACTGAACCAGAACCGAACCAATTGAGCAGCTGCACGGCGTAATATGCCTACAAATAGCCCCCCCTAACCCCATACTGTAATCAAATCGAGTATTTATACAACTATTCAACTATGCATACGCTCTCACCCACAGCTACGAGGAGCATGGAGCATACATATAGTAATCCGACATTGTTGCAAACAATGCGAGGAGAGAGCAAAGTATTTGAGGAATATCGAAACCATTTTGAAATTTGTATTGTATTTTTGTCCCTATTACTGTTACATGGAATGTCTGCTTCGAACCAAAACGAATGGTGAGGCGATCGTGATGTTTATTGAATATTGTCAAGCGTTTCAAACCACTATCTATATATATATACATATTATACTATCAATGATATTGTCAATCAATAAAACGTATTCGAAATCAAATCAAATCAAATCAAACGAATGCGCCCAGTCGGACTTGGCCGCTTCCTGGGTTCCGTTTTGCACTAAGAATGTATGGCCAACAGCTTCGGGAAATTATGTTTTCAGCGAGACGAAATGGAATTAGAAGATCACGCGATACGACGGTCCCATAGCTCAAAACTGAAGGTATTGCTGTATGGCTTTGGCCTTGTAGAGCCGATTCCAAAAAGGATTGGTCTTCTAATACTTCCCGGGACGTCAGCCATCGGGTGTTACAGAGTTGTACACTTGGACTGGCGTAAAGGCGCTTCGGGCTAGGCCTTGCCTAGGATACAGCACCCGTAAATGTCTGCACACTGGATGTGCGGTGGAAGTGCCAGGCAGAGCCAAATTCATAGTATAAATCCTAAATATATTTAATGGCAGTCCGAAAGCAGCCAACACACAAAATGACAGACAAGCTCGCACGACCAGGGCACAAAGCTGCTGATGCCGCATTGGCATTGGCCGGAGCACATCAAACCAAGTCGAGGCTTTGGTCCAGGCATGTGTCATCAATCAATCAACGCGAAGTCTTCAGGACCCTGGTCCAATATACATATGTACATGGGGCAGGAAGGCCTCTTAAGCGAAGCCAGCAGAGACTTCATCAGACCCATAAGTTCCCAAAGAGCGAAAGGGGGGAGGCCGCAAAATAAGTGAGTGCCAGAAACAGTCAGAGGCACAAGGGCCAGCCAGTCTTGGAAGTGGGCCGACTGGAAAACCTCAGCGATCATGTGGCTCTCCCACCTAGTGTCGAGAAAGCGCAGCAGGGCGGCTGGGAGAAGGCTGAAATGCCTGTTGGACATCAGTTGGCAGACGTAGTGCTGCCGCTCCTCCCACGCCGGCTCCGGCCTTAGGAGGCAGGCGCAGAAGACTGCCTTCTCGGAGGAGATAAGCCATCTCCTTGGGCATCCAGCTCAAGGAACTCCCGCGAGGTAATTGATTTTAATAGTTTTATCTTTCTATCTTTTCAACATGCCATCTAAGCGATTACGCTAGCCAAATCGAACCCTTTGTTTTCTCTTTGCTTCTTTCGTTTCCGCTCGCGCCGTAACAGAATTCGGTTCTGCCGACCGTGCGCACTGCGCAGTAGAAGGGAACTTCGTTTTTTCTTTTCGTCTCTTTGGCGCCTGCGTCGGCAGAACTTTGTTGCTTTTTTCGCTTTGCGTGGGCGCAAGAGAGTAAGGAACAATTAGCGTTGTGATTTATTGAAAAATCTATAAATTATCTATTATTATCAGGTAAGTGCAGTGTTTAAATAAAAATTTGTGTTGTGTGTCCAGTAAACAATGCAAATATCAATTGTATAAAATGTTAAATTTGTGTGCACATTACATTAATGTTTCGCTGCATTCACATTGTGTGTCTTTATTCTTCTCGTATGCGAAATTAATTGCTGCAAAACAAAGAACAAAACGAAAGCAACAAAAAGTAGCCCTCGTATGCGAGGCATGCGTTTTGTTTTTGTTGTTGGCGTAAATGAACAGCGCACCGCTGATCTACATACATTGCACATTGTTTTTTTTTGGCGAAACAACTGTTTTGCAAATTCTTTTCATACAATTAAACCAAATTAGTAGTAGCTTAGTAAAATATACATATGTAAAGGAAAATAGCTGTGGTGTAATTGTTCATACATACAGTAGCGGACATCTAAATGTGGACAGTGAAAATATTTAGCATGAGACGTATTTTATTTACATTTTCAGTATGGAAAATACACCCACGCAAAAAATGAAGCGCTTTATCTTGGATGCAGAGCGTAAGTATATCATTTACGTGTTTAATACATTAAAATACATAAGACCTAAGCCCTAATTAACATTGTTTTCACAGCACCTGTGCCAAAGGAACAGCCAATATCGCGTAATGTACATGTATTTTTAATTACTTTGCACGCTATAGCAGAGCAGAGCAACGTATAATTGCTGCATTTAAAAGTAAGTTATCGATTTGAAAGTTTAATGTGTATACTAATAATATTTTTCTTTTTTTTATTTCAGAAGAAATTGTCGAACTAAAATCAAAAATTGACGTTCTAACGGAAGCTGTGGCGGAGGCGGTGACCCTTATTATATTGCAGGGTATAAAAGATCCAGAGGCAGCAGACAGCCAAATTAGTTTCCTGATAGAATCGACGGTGGAGTTGGAGCATTTCCACGGATTATAACTCCGGAGCTCACCGATTTCTTTGTGAGTGGTGGCATATCATTTTCTTCATTATTTTCTGTTATTAGATAAACAAATTACGGAACATAGTGGGGACGAGCCCATCTAAAAAATCTGCCTAAAAAATGTGCTGCACGAGAGGCTGATGTTGTCGTATCATTTGGATGAAGCCTCGGAAGAAGTTTCAAGAAATGTAGGTCTAACAATACCTTAAAGAAAACATAATAATTAATTAATTTATCCATATTATTTCAGCGGCGGTAAAGTTGAAGAATGAAAGATCAAAAAACCCAGATGAATATTAAATTTTCTTGAATTTAACAGATTGAAACGCGTAATTCATCACTCATCTATACATATGTATATGATGATTTTTCCGAGCTGCTAGATGACCAATGCCTTGAGACATCGCCCTGATAATGTAGCGTATGGTGTGTCATCGCTTATGTCATCGGGGGTAGTGACGCTGTCATCGACGTGTCAGCAGCATCGAAGGCCCGTACTGCAGGCGAAGAGTTTAGGGATATACTAGTTTTGTGGTGAACGTGGGTAGCGATCGTTTCCAGCCCCATATTCCTAAACAGCATCAACAAGCGAGACGAGCCATGTCTGTCTGTTTGACGCCTGGTTCTCAGAGACTATAAGAGCTATAGCAACCTAATTTTTTGCAATGACGGAGTCTGTCTGTGATATCACACTGAATAAAGATTCTTTCAAAATTTGTTTATGCCCCCGTCCGCCCCAAAAAGATACGAGAAAGCCGAAAGCTGGGAATCATAGAGAATTATCATATCTACCAGATTGCCGAATCTGGATCATTATTATAGCCAGAGTGAAGTAAATATTTGCCGTGTCTACGGAACCCCTTCCAAGCGCCGACTCATTCTCTCTCACTCTTCCTCGTGAGAGGGAAGCGAGACAGCAACAGTTGTTCTTTTATTTTGACTGACTGTTGGACGACGTTGTGATCGCGTCGGGGACACCTGGAGAGCTGAAAGCTTGGACGTGACAAAGATAGGCCCGATCGTGCAACGATCGTCGTGGGTCAGCGTCGCTTTCTCTCGCTTACTCCTTCAGACGAGATCGCAGCTTCACTATCTTCTCTCTTCTTTGACTCGGCTCTCACAAATTTAAGTGCTCTCTCTCGCTCTACCCTACGTGCCTGCATAAACCACTATCGCTGATCTCTCATGCCCTGGTCTTGCACTTCTTAGTGGCTGACTATGCCTTTAAATTCGAATTTTTACCAGAGAAATTAGAATTTTGACCATTTTGCTAACTCGTGTACACGACATTCGGAGACTTTATCCCTTTCAGAATAATGTGCTGCTTGCCAAGGCATGGAATGATGTAACTTTTATCTCCCTTTCTCTCGATCTTTGTAATTGTAGAATCAGCTGTGCTTCGTTTAGCTGCTTCACTGCCAAAGCTAATAATCCGAGAAACGAGTCTCTGAGTCACACAGCCTGGGCACCACAAAACAATATGGAATATCCGCTTGGGCCAGACGGCCGATATTCTGGCATAAATTCGAAAAATTTAATCCTTAATCCCCTCTCTCTTTAACTGATTGGAACTTTAGATTTGGAACTGTCCGTTCGGTAAAAAAATCGCTTAAAAATACTCTCACAGAGCGGTCGATGCGGTCGATGGTAACAGCTTGAAAGCCCAATTCTAAAAGGAATCATGATTCCTATCGGATCAGCCAAATGACTTTCAACTGTCGCTTTCAGTGTCCACCTTTTCTCCTCCTTTCCACCCATACATTTTATATGGCCCTGATCTTAAAACCATATTAAAAGAACTCTTCTACACCAATTCCTTACAGTTTGGGATTCACTTTTATTTCGTTTTCTTTTAAATGTTTACAAGCCCCAGCACAATATGAGATCCAGTGGCGATTTGGCTCACAGTGTCAGCTGGATAAGTTTTTTACTTGTCGCGGGAGTCCAGAATCCAGAGTCCTTTCAGCTCCTCTAGATGTCTGTCGTCTGTCGGCGATCAGTAATTACTGGAGATACAGATACTGTTTCAGTGTGAAAGCCATGGGCGGTAGCTGAAAGATGCTCCTGTGGCTGTACCCTTGCCGCCCCTCAACACCCGTAATAAAACTGAGCTTACTTCCTTTCTGAAATACTTGTATTATTTATTAAGCTTATACACATATTACACGCTTATTTTGTTGTTCGTTTGTTTGTCGATTAGGTTTTGAGTTGTTTTCAACGGCTGTGTGTGTGTGTGTGGGGGTGGGGGGGGGGGGGGGGGAGGGGGGGAGGAGGGGGGCACACTATTCGTACAATGCCAGCTAATGTATAATTCGAAATTGATCAACATCCACTTGCTTGCACTTCCACTATCAACTATTATTGTAGCTTGCTAATTGAGATTTGGCAAAACGAATTGTTCGAGAATATGAGGAGCGCAAGTGCTGTAAATTATTGTTGCTGATTGTTGTCATATATAAAAATATATATAATATATACTCGTACATGTGTATATCGTGTATACAATATCAAGCAATTTAATTTGTTCACATTATCGAAAGCAGTCTAAATTATTTGTTATATCATATATAGCAGCGTTCAAAATTAGTTTTAGGGAAAGTTTGTTATGTTTGTATTTATATTTCGAAAATAGACAATTCCAGGGCCTGAGGCGCCCGAACAAAGTGTTTAACATAGGTATCTTTGCCGCTATATATTACAATTCTCGTTACGCGTTACTCGTTACTCGTTACTCTTTACTCAACAGGAACTAAGTTGAAATATTTATCATTCTTGTTATTTCTTTTCATTTTCATATTCTATCAAAAAAATTTGGCATTTCCAATTCGATCAAACCAATTTCGATTGTATAAGTTTTCGTTTCTTAATCATTTTTGGAATTTTCGCTTTTACAATTACTAATCAGCGTTCGTTAAATATATAATAATGTGTGTATATGTATGTATATATGTATATATTTATATGTATTGTATTTATGTATGTATAATTTAGTTTTTAAGTTTTGTTCATTTTTATGCAAAAATTATTAACAAATCACAGTAAAAAAGCAACAATGCTAGAAAATCGTTTAATTTTTGTTGTTGTTATTAGGTCTATGCATACATACTCGTATATTTATGTGGCTATGGCGGTCTACAGCTGAATGAGGCGTGCCTAGAGAAGTTCTTGAAAGCAAGAGATGTGGGGAAAAAGGGGAAACATAAACATAAGTTATATAACAATAAATAAACACTTTGATCGATGCCAGCCATTAAATAAATCATGTGATTCAGCAAATGGAAAAAAGCAAAATGGAATGGTCTCTTTTTCATCTGCCAATAAAATCAAGTTAACACTTACAACTAAAACAGAATAAACCATAGGATAATATTCGCATAAATTAGGAATTGGGGGGTAAACGGAACGGATCCGCTTCAGTTATGAGTATGAACATTTGGAAGGGGAACTTGGAGCGTACAGAATCCATTTGGATGCACAATGCAGGAATACAATGAGAGACTGCTGTTGGTGCGGACGGGGTAGGGCTGCAAGCTCGGGACATTCGTGGTACACTCACAAATTGGTTCTGGGGATGCTGGAGATATCTGGAGAGACCATGCCATGAGCCAGCCCATCCATTGACTGCTTACAGTTTAGAGAGAGAGAGCGTTACATGCTTGGAGATTATTTACACATTGAGATAGATAATCGAGGGTAAAAGTATCATTCGAAAAATATACACACAGATATACAGATATAGACACAGGACTAGGGGCATGAGCAGGAACAGGAGTAGTTAGTCCTCCACGTCCTGACGCTGCCTGTGGCGATGCAGCAATCAGCTGCCCGCCACGAAGCGCGGCTTGGCCAGATTCGCCTCCGACTTGCCGTCAGCGGTCAGCTCCTGCAGCTCAATTTCACTGAGCAGGGCCCAGTTCTCGCTGTCGGAGTGGACATGCAGACGCAGCTCCTTGATGGCCCCTATTTTTGGGTCCAGCAGGCCCTCGGCAACGCCCAAGTGGTCAAAGGAGCCCACTACCAAGTAACCGTCGGTGGTGGTGTTGTAGTTGCTCCACACGGACGAGTTCTCGCTAAGGGTGTCCGCCGGCAGCAGCTCCACGGTGGTGTTGTAGAACCGGTCCGAGGGATGCTCGGAGTTGCCGCTGCGGAAGAGGTATCGTCGCAGGAGCGTAGGCTGCTCAAAGACGAACTGCACCAGGTCACCAGGCTGCGGCAGCAGACCCCAGAAGTAGGACTCTCCGCGATAGGCGCGCTTCAGCAGATAGTTCTTGTACGGCGCAATGTTTGACTTGACCAGCGCCGGGGGGTTGTGGGTGTGAGCATAGTACTGCGGCACCTTGCTGCCAAACTGCTTGTCCTTCAGCTTCTGGACCTTTCCTTTCAAAGAGGAACTGGTGCCGATATGCTGGAACAAAGACTTGCGGAAGTGCTGCCAGTACTTGGCCTTCTCCTGGTTGCAGTGCTTCTGGTCCTTGTCCGTGCGACAGACCTTCGACTCGATGAAGTATGTGAGCAGCCAGTCGACGGGCTTATCGTTGTAGAACATCTGGAAGTAGGTGATCAGGTAGGGCAGCTCGGCGCTCTTGAACATCTTGCCAATGAAGCCGAGCTGGCAAAAGTCCAGGACAAACCAGGCCGGCTGATCCGGCTTGGTCAGCGCGCTCTTGATCAAGGCAAACTTTTTCATTGTGGTTATAAACTGTCGCTTGGTCAGGATGTCATCCTCCAGCTGCACATAGAAGGTGCCCTTCGAATGGGCATAGGCCATCAGGTAGGCAAAGTCCAGGTTCTGTTTGCTTCGCCACTTCACCCGCTCCAGCGGATCGTTCAGCGTGATGCGCAGCCGCTCAAAGTTGGGATAATAGCTGGGCGCCGGCGCAATGATATCGATAAGTCCGCTTTCCACATGCTGCTCGAAGCTGGTCTCGATCTGCCGGGCTATTAGCTGCACCGCCTCGATGTCCGTCTCGCCGATGTACACAATGATGAGGGTCTCGTTCTGCTCCTCCTCGTTCATGTTCTCTATCAGATTGTGCAGAGTCCCCAGAAGATAGGACTGCTTCTCCCGGTGCACGGTGGGGACCCCCAGAACGATGCTGATATCGGTGCGGCCCTTGCTCTGAAGGTAGGCTGGACGTAGGGAGCCCGCATCGTCCAGGAGATGGGGCAGAAAGTGGTAGGCGTTGGGCAGTCGTATATTCTGGCCCCTGGCCATCGTGCCATTCCATCCCCCACCTTTCGCTGCGTGCGAGGCATTCCTCAGCAGTTGTCTCGCCTCGGGACTGAGTCCGTCCAGCAGATTAGCCACTGGCAGCGGCGGCGGGGGACTAGGACTCGCCGCGCTCCCGTTTCCCGCTTGCAGCTGGCCCAAGTACTGCGAGAGCAGGGCCACGTCCTCCTGTCTGGCTCTGTACATGGACTCCAGGTACTGCAGCCGCATATGGCACTCGGCCAGGCGCTGCGTCAGCGACTGTTCGGTGGATAGTTCTGGTGCCATCACCATCAGTATCACAATGCAGGGCGCCAGCACGAGGGCCGTCACAATCAGCATACAATTCCTCTGCCTAATCTTGAACATTTTGTCCAGTGGATACGATACGTTCTTTCACTGCCTCTGCCTTTGCCTTTGCCTCTGGCTCTGACTATTATATTAATTAGCCAACTGTTTGCTTGATGGCTGCTCTGCTTCCGCTTGGGGTTCGTTGTGGCGCTTTTCCCTTGGGGCGGCTGTCATCCTCCTCGTTCCTCCGATGACTAATGCAGGCACTGCAACAAAAACGGCATTAGATGGGTTGGGCTTTGGTTGGGGGAGGAGTCTGGGTTGTGGGTTGTTGGCGAAGGTCGCAACGTTTAACAGCTTTCTGTTGCTGTTGCTGTTTCTGTTGCCGTTTCTGTTTCTGTTTCGCTGCTTCTGCCTTACCCCAGCCGCTGGATTAACGATGGAGGTGGCGGCAGCTGTCGCAATTCTCGCCACATGGCCTGGCCGGGAGCAGGGAGAAGGAAATAATAATATTTTGTTATATAATACGTACTCAAGACGATGACAATCGACTTACATGGCCAAGAGCCCTGAGTGCAAAGGCGTTGTCCTTGTCGCCGGGATTCGATCGGTGGGACTGCTGAAAATAAGAAGGAGGGCGGTTTATAGCTTGTTTTTGCCGGTTCAGTCTCCTACTCGTACAAATATGCATGTACATATGTAGGGTATCAATTGGCCTAGACTCAATTGGAGGGGCCACATGGGGAGGGTATTTTCAAACAGGGCAGAGTGTGAATGAGTGCAGGTGGGAGTGGTTTTCGTCTATTTCAGGAAGGGTATCGGGCAGTCTCCCCCGGCTCGTTCTCCCACCTTTTGGGGCAAGGTGTGAACATTAGCATTGCCCCGATCCGATCATCAAGTTCGCACTCGTTTCGGCATTTTGGGGAAATAAACCAAATACCCAAGCACGCACACCCCACCCCCTCCTGCACAGCCCGCACATCGCGCACAACACTCACATTTAATTGCTGAACAAACGGCCAAACGAGTAAACATTAAATAGGAACAGATTGAACGTAGTTTTGCTCTTTTTGTACGATGGGTGTAGTCCCCTCTCCTCTTTGGCCTCTCTGACCCTTCCCCACTACATATATGTTGCTCTGCCGTCGTTTTTTCGCCATACGTTTTCGCTCAGGTTTGGTTTTGCATCGCTTTCGGATCGCATTGGCTGGCTATTATGTAAATGTTACAATTGGTTGCCACACGCACGATTGTTTCATATTGCGTTATTAACACGGCGGGGAATTTCGGTTAATAACGCCCCCGAGAGCACAAAAAACAACAGGCGGGTCCGAGCAGCTGCTCGCGGAACAAAAAGTGGAACAAGTGAGTGGAAAAAACGAGTGGAGCAGCGACGTCGGCAGCGCTGCCATCCGTGATTGTGTTGATATTCTACACTATTTCTATAATGGTGCATTGGACAGGAGGGTGTGTCTATAACGCGTCTTAAAAAATACTGGAAAATACTAGAAAATATTCAAAAATTAGCATTTTAAGCATTATCATTGGCATTAATTCTCAACAAATACTTTAAAAAGCTATAAAAAGAGGCAAGGTGTGACCTAAAAGCATAGTACTCCGCTCGACGAAAATTTGCACCATCTAAAAGTGTCAAAAAATTCGATAGGGAAAAAGTGAGACCAGGCCTACATGCACTAAGGTCACACTGTTTTGTGTTTGTTTACAAATAAAATCGCTTACAAATTCAAATTTTGCAACCAAGCAAGAATGTATTCTCAGACGGACGGAGAAAGCACCGCAATATTGGATATCTCCTTTTATTTTGACACAAATAAGCAATCAACATGTTTTTTATCTCAACATAAGTTACTTAAATGAGTACCGGGTGTAAAATTAATTATAGAATATGCGGTAAAAAGATGTGTAAGTTCATACAACGAATATGTTCCAAACGAATTTGCTGGATCGGATACCAGGTCTTCGGCTCTGGCATTCCGCCCGCCATGAGCCCAGGCTCAGCCAGCCAGCCCAAGGTGAATTTACTATAAGGTGGTGTCGTCCGCTGTAATGATGACTATCCACTTTTTTAACTCGCTCTCTCGGCTTTAAGAGAGACAAGTAGTAAAAAGAGATAGCAAACGATTGACGTTCTGCACTGTCGTAGCAAAGCCACTGCAATTACATTTTTTCCTCCTGAATGTAATAATGATCCATTTTCGAAAATCTAGTAGATATTATTCTGCGTTTTTAGTTTCGGATTCGTATTTTCAAAATTGTGAATGCCACAGATTTTCGATCTTTGTGGGAAGGAAGTCCAACAGGCAGTCGAAATAAAACAACTGTTGCTATCTCGCTTCCCTCGCACGAAGAAGAGTGAGAGAGAATGAGTAAGCGGTTGGAAGGGGGTTGCCTACCCACGGAAAATATGTTCTTCACTCTGGCTATAATAATGATCTGATCCGGATTCGTCAATCTGGTAGATATGATAATTCTATATGATCCTCTTTCGGCTTTCGGCTTCCTCGTATTTTGATAGTTTCGTCAAACTAGGCGCTAGACGTCGAACAAGAAAAATATCAAGATCAAGAATATATATACTTTATATACATGCTTTAAACCAAAAATCTAAAATACCCCTATGCTCTTCGAGTACCGGGTATACAAATTTGATGAAAATGTGATAAAAGTAATATGAAGCTAGTAATATAAAACCGCATATAAAAATAGAGGGATATGATTTCTGATTGATGATTGAGAACCATTAGCTTAGCCCATTGTCAACCAGTGGGTATTAAAATTAGAATGATGAAACTTGAATAATTTTAGCGCAGTTCAGGCTAACGATACCGTGGTGTTTTCTGTTTTAAGGTAAAGAGAAAGGGTGGATCTACAAGAAGAGTTTAAACACAGAATAATTTTCCGCGGATAAACTACATCCGATCACCTTTTTAAATAGAGGGGGGTCAAGGTGGCTAAGCGCGTTTTTCCATCGGTATATTTACGGTATATTTTGAAAATGAGCCGGTATATTTCTGCCGGTCAGATGGTATATTTTATCATAGGCGGCAATAACAAGACAATAGCGTGAAAAAAATGTATTTAACTCTATTAAATGGAACTGGCTATGTATTTAGTGTGGATGGTAAGCAGGAAAACAGTTTACACAACATGGAAACCCACTTACATCCCGCACTTGCTAGATTACATGGAGCTGCGAACCAAACATCGGCTAATGGGCGCTCTCGTCGGCACGGCGAACACCAAAGGCTGGAGCCCCAATCAGTCCAGTGGGTATTGCTTTGTGTTTCCATACAAACAATTGAATTTCAAAAAACCTTCTTCTTTATAGCTCTTCCCGTAGAGCTCACGAAATTCGAGACACAATTGATCCTGGACGAGGGCATAGCTCTGCTGGTCAATAAATCAAAAACATTTAGTACATCTCCTACGCCCAAAGAACTGGCGGAATATAAAGCCGACCTTAAAGAGCGTTTGGAGGGCCAGGCAGATGCCCTGAAGGGGGAGAAACTACGAGAGACCGAGCGTTATATGGACAAGATTCTGCTTGGAAAACGCAACAAGTTGTTGAAGCAGGGTCTGTCTACGCAAGGTAGTGAAATATGAATTATAAAATAAATGTATCTGTACTCAATCTCCCGTATTCTTCCTTCCAGCTGCTGCCTTAGACGGAGAGGATGTGCTCAAGGAAGTGGCGGACAACTTCAAGTTTGACCTACAGAATGCGCTAATGGAAGTTCCCTGCCAACACCTAAGCAAGCACAGTAGGTTTTATTCGAAGATTTAAGGCCCTTTAACTACTACCTCTTTTCCCACAGCTGCGGAAATTATTCCAGGACCAATTGTGGACACCAGTTGCATCAGGTACCGAATATTTCGGGACCTCTGGCTGCGGGGAAAGTTCGTGACTTCCGGCGAGGCATTCGGCGCAGATTTTCTAGTCTATCCCGGAGATCCCCTTATCTACCATGCCTCGCACATCGTGATTGTACAAAATACCTCACCGATAAGACCCTTGGACTTGATTGCCAAAGTCCGTCTCTCGGTGATTGTGAACAAGAGCTGCGTGTTTGCCTATGAGAAGAGAGGTGAAGGAATCACCTATCAAACAGTGGCCTGGTCCAATCCAAGCAGGTAGAGTGAGTGGCGGGTAAACCCAAAATATTGAGGCAAACTGGATAGAATAACAGATAACCTCTCTCCTCTCCTCTTACTCTTACTCTCACTCTCTCCCTCTGCCTCTGCCTCTCTAACCTTTCCTCTCTGCGTTTCGCTGTCTTGCTCAGAGCAGAGGAGAGCAGGAGCACAGCCGTGTCTAGTGTCTCTGGTTTAAGAGTTTGTTTCTGAGCACATGTGTTAAATTCATTTACGGTATGCAATGTGATGCGATGGGTTCCATTCCGTTCGGAGCTCCAGTGGGAAAGGAGGCAAAGACTAAAGTATTGTTCAATTAATTAGTGATACATGCGTTGGCCTGCAAAATGAGTTGAATTTTGCGACCCCTCCTACTAATACTTATGCAGGCCCCCATGAACACAGTCAGGCGGAGCCACCGCAATATGCGATAGGCATTTGTTTTCAACAAATTTGTGCTGAATTCTTCATGTTTTTTGGTTTTGTTTTAAATAGAAACAACATCGATAAGCGGTCTGACCGGGCGTGGCGTTGCGGGGAAGGCCAGCCAAAGTCGTGCCGTTCGAATTTCTGTCGAGCATTCTCACAGTGGGTCGAGTGTCACTCTGGTACTTTGAATTACATTATGCATTTTTTTGAGCTCTTCATTTCATACAGGTGCATTGTAATAGGAGCATTTATTCCATTCTGTGCGACTGGTACCAACAATAAGCAAATTTCAGCAAGCCCAGAGGAGAATGGGAACTTTTAGGCAGCTTCAAATGAAATGTGGCCCACTGTCCTCTGCACACGCTCATTCTACTTCCCTTCCATGCCATGCTCTCCTCTAAAAACAAAGCACCAACTCATGCCACACTCTTCGCCATGCTCTCCCTCTCTGCCAGCATTGCCAGCTGTAAAATACGCTCACTTTAAATGCTGATTGGAACGGTTAAGGCATTACAAACAGCGCACAGTGGTCAAAATAAACATTCTTTGGCTTTAAGTCGGTTAGTAGAGGCCCATTTTTGCCCTAATAACAGTGAATGACGCCCAAATAAAATGTGATCCATATTTCTCCTGATTAGGGGTCTATAACTAGAAAATCATTTTATTCAAACTACATGCCCAGAATATGGGCATTTTGCCCAGGGTGCGTTTCTCATTTTCTCATGGTCCCGCCACAAACAGCATCAAAACAGAGAAAATTGTAATCTTGAATTCGCGCCGTTGCTGCCGCTGCGTTTTTCGGGTGGGTGCTCACTTATTCTACTGCTTCTCAGCGCACTCAGAGACAAACAAAACTCTGGTCTCTGAGAGGTGGAAAGAATGGATAGAACTCTCCCTGGTACTGGATGTTACTCTACTCGACTCTCCTCTCCTCTCATTGTGTCTCCCCTGCCTGCTTGCCTGCCTGTCCGCCTGCCGTTGAAAACCAAAACAACGGAACGCGGTCTCTGCTCTTAAGCGGGACTTGATCTGCATATAAAAATAGGGTCAGAGCTATCTCTGAGATATGTCAAAAGTAACAGGTGATTGGGAAGGAGAAAAAGAGAATTCAGAGGGCGTAAGAGCGAGCCGAGCCGAGCCGGCTTTTCTCTCGGGTAGTTGTTATTATTGTTTACAGGATCTGTTGATATTTCGCTTTCTAGCATGCATCTGACTTTAAAGAGGTGGATTCCAATTCGAAATCTAACTTAAATTGTCTACTCCCGTTCAAAATATTTTAAATTTCATTTTTTAAATCTTGAAACGAAAAGTTCATATTTTTACCATTTTTATCATTTCTGAACCTGATGTGGTGGGGCATCAGATACATACATACATATGCACATATTTGTATCTGAAAAATTGTCGCTGCACAGCTGTTTCCACGTCTTCTTAATGTGTGTAGAAGGGAAACAGTATTTCCATTATTTAATATTTACCACCTTTTATAGTTTTGTTTACTATCTTGGTCCGCTCCCTGCCTAAAAATACTCTTCTTTAGTGAACGTTTCACTTAAGTCCGCTCGCATCTGGCAATGCCGTTTCACAACTGTACTTCAAGAGCGTTGCCAGCGAGCGCTCACACAGATACACGCCATGGTATGACTATGCAAGGTTCGGCCATTTTGCTCATCAGCTGGCCTAAGTTGTTTTCCACCCTCTCTGCCTTGCAACAGCACAAGCAATATCACCAAAATGATGAAAGCAATGGAGGCCGCTCGCCAGGTCGGATACACCTCACGAACATTTCTACCGTGGGAACCACCACCACCAGCACAGCGAAGCGAAGCGTGTGCATGTATTGAGCGCATGACCAGAAAATATTTTCTCCCCCGTATAGAGACAGAAAGTCGCCGCGCTGGCAGCAACAGAGCAGAAAACGTAATTCGATCGAAGCGATTTGCTCAGCAGAGCTCACAGTGCGAGTTTTTCAGTTGGCGAGTGGACAGTGAAACAAACAGAAAGAAATAGAAAATCAAGAGTCAGGAGAAGTGAGAAGTGAACGAGAGGGGAAAGCACCAACTGCAGACGGGCAGATTTTCTTTGCGCTCCGGTGAGAAGATAATTTCAGCAAAAAAGTGTGCGCTCCGGGAGCGGGAAAAAATTAACAGAAATAACACCAAGCACCAAGAGACACTAGGTTTGTTATAAAACATTTAAAACGGAGAGTAGATGGCGAGAAAAAACGAAATGCGTGGCTCAGGGCTCGACTGTACAATTGTGGATAAAACGTATATATGTGTGCGTGTGTGTGCCTGCGCGAGTGTCTGTGCCGTTTTCAATGAGTATTTTCGTGTGTTGGCGCGCTATTTTTGTGTGATTTTTCCCAGCAACAAATTTTGAAACAATTTTTCTCCCCACGTCGAAAAAGTCATGCTTTATGGCGGTCGGGTCGGTCGGGCGGTCGGTTGGTAGGTTTGGGGGGGGTGCCCAAAAACAAATTCTTGGGAGCGCTCACACATGAGTTGTCTCGCTCTCACGGGGGCTCCAACTCTCGCGAGAGAGCGAGAGCACACGAGCTGTGTCTAAAAGTTACACTAACATCTGGTTACTCTTTACATTTTTTTCAGTTTCGTGAAAGCGCCGTGAGGAGGGATAGGGATTTCAGGATTCGCGAATCCTGAACGAAACACTTTTTCTTCGCCCCCACTTTTCCTCCCATCGCTGAGTGAACAGCCGTCGTGTTGGAGACAAACAGCAGTGAATACAACCACAACGCTGGAGAGGAACAACAATTGTTGGACTTGGACACGACAGCCCTGATGTCGTTGCCAATGAATTCGCTGTACTCGCTCACCTGGGGCGATTACGGCACGAGCCTGGTATCGGCCATACAATTGTTGCGCTGCCATGGCGACCTTGTCGATTGCACTCTGGCCGCCGGGGGACGCAGTTTTCCGGCCCACAAAATAGTGCTCTGTGCCGCCTCGCCGTTCCTCCTGGATTTGCTAAAGGTAAGCGAGAGTAGAGTGTGGAGAGAGCTAGAGAGAGAGAGAGAGAGAGAGAGTTGTGTGGAGTCGGGGCGACATAACCACAAACGTGGCCAGTCTGAGATTTTGACTCGCGTACAGTTTGTAAACAGAGAAACCCATCGCAAAAATAGGTTAATGTTTGGAGCGCGGCTCCCACAAAAGCATTCAGAGAAACTTACTCACACGCACACATGCACACACTTACAGATGGCAGAGCATTCGCTCTTCCCTGCTCTGCTCTTCTCTGCTCCAAAAATACAATTCTCCGTCTCATACTTTCTGTTCAGAGATTTTGGTACAAGTTTTCCACTGTCAATTGAGTTGAATGAGTTGCGCACTCTGCGCCGTCGCCGTCGCTGACGTTGCCAATGCCCCACACAGGCCTCGTTCTGGCCCCTTAACAGTTCTCATTTCTCCCCACCTTCTGGCCCCCTCTCAGTTCTTATTTCTCCCCTGCTTCTTATCAACTTTTCTGTTTTTTTTTTTGTATTTCTTATTTTCATAAAGTTACTACATTTGAGAGAGTGAGAGAGCGAGAGGACAGTGAGAGGCAGAGCGATAGAGAGTGTGAGAGAGCGAGAGAACCAGTCCGTCAAAGCAGAAAAAGCTGCTGCGCCAACTTTCTGTTCGAATGTGTTAGAGCGAGCGCAAACGAGAGCGCCAAAAGCATCGAAGCAACGAGGCGACGGCTGCCAGAGTGTTGGTATAGTTGTTGGAGCTTTAGCTTTTGCTGTTGTTGGGTGCACACGAGCGCGACCTCTTTTCTGCTGTTGCTGGCTGAATGTACAGTTGAACCTGTCGATGGGGGGATTGTTCAACAGTGAGGCCATGTTTTTTTCAAATTTTGTATACATGGAATGATTGTATGAATTTTCCTCAGTCCGCTGTAGTTTTTATCGAAAATTACATTTACATGTCCCAAAATCATTAGAATACATACATATGTACATATGTATTTACGTTGGGGGGCTTTTCCCGCTATTCAGTCGAATCAGATTCTTTGAGACCATTGTTTCGCATGGCTAGAAACCCTCTCTTATCATACGGATGACCAAAACAGAGCACTGGCGGCCAAACACCTGACGCCGGCATCAGTGAAAAAAGTAAACAGAGCGTAATTTTTAAAAACGGCGCTCAGAGTCGACGGCGGGGAAATGTCAAAATGCTGCTCTTATTGTTGCTGTGAACTCTGCAAGAGTCCAAAATCCGTCGGTCGCCAGCGAGATGTGCGGCGTACTGATCTCGTTACACTCACACACGCGGCCAGAACACATGGAGGTTTCTCTTTGTTGCTCCCGCTCCCTCGCAGCGAAATGCAACTGAGAAAAATCGATGAGCATGTGGAATGAATGGAACGGTGGTGGGTAACGTAACGTAGCAGGGAGAGGAGAGGCACACAAGGCACCACAAGCCACAAGAGCAGCAGCAGAAGGGAGTGTAGAGTTCAAAGAGCGCATCATGGAGTGGGAGCGGGAGCGGGAGCGGGAGAGGGAGAGGGAGAGGGACCAGAACAGAGCAGAGCAGTAAATGACATTTAAAGAGATGGCATTGGTTTTGCTCTGTGTGTAAGGCTCGACTTTGCAGCAGCGAGCAACGTTTGCTAATTAAACGTGTTGAGCGCGAGACGGAGACGGAGAGGTTGAGGGAGAGGGAGAGGAGTGCGCTCTTTTGAGCTCTGTTTTCTTTCGTCAGCATCTCCTCGTCCTACCTCCTCCAATCCTGCTGCAGAATGTGCAGAGCGGGAAAAGTAAAAGCCGGTTGGCATTGGCTTTCTTATGTGTGAGTGAGTAGAGAGTGCCCGTCTCTTTTTGAGTTTCTGTGAGAGTACGAGCACGTTGGGATTCTATCTCCGTCGTTGTCTGTTTTTGTTTCGGTTGGGTCTCGTCTCGGCATTTGTCTTGCTCCACGCACTTGACGCGCTCAAACCCCCCTTCAAATGCCATCGTTTTGTTGGCACTGATTTATTAAGATTTTCATTTGCTTTTGCCGCTCCTTTGAAACCAGTTTATTCTTCACATTTATGACGAATGCGATTTTCATTTGCTTTCCCTGATATCTTTTATATTTCATAGAACACACCATGCAAACACCCTGTGGTAATGCTGGCCGGCGTCAATGCGAACGACTTGGAGGCACTACTTGAGTTCGTCTACCGCGGCGAAGTGAGCGTCGACCATGCCCAGCTGCCCTCCCTGCTTCAGGCTGCCCAGTGCCTGAATATCCAGGGACTGGCGCCTCAAACCGTCACCAAGGACGACTACACCACGCACTCGATCCAGCTCCAGCACATGATACCCCAGCACCACGACCAGGACCAGTTGATAGCGACCATTGCCACGGCCCCCCAGCAGACGGTGCACGCCCAGGTTGTCGAGGACATTCACCACCAGGGACAGATTCTGCAGGCGACCACCCAGACCAATGCAGCGGGACAACAGCAAACGATTGTGACCACGGATGCGGCAAAGCACGACCAGGCGGTAATTCAGGCCTTCCTACCGGCACGAAAACGGAAACCCAGGGTCAAGAAAATGTCACGTAAGTGTAATCAAGGCAAAGCCCCAGTCTCAGAGATTTCATCATCAAATCTTTCCACACTTCAGCTACGGCTCCGAAAATCAGCAAAGTTGAAGGAATGGATACGATTATAGGCACACCGACCTCATCCCACGGCGGCGGTGGAGTGGTGCAACAGCAGCAAGTTCTTGGCGAGAACGGATCCGAGGGCCAGATGCTCACGTCGACGCCTATCATAAAAAGCGAAGGGCAAAAGGTGGAAACGATTGTGACCATGGATCCGAACAACATGATACCGGTAACGTCGGCCAACGCGGCCACAGGCGAAATCACGACGGCAACAGGCACCACGGGCACGTCCGGAGGTAATTCGAGCGGTACGACATCCACGCCAAAGACCAAGCGGACCAAACACCCGCCCGGGACAGAAAGTAAGTCGCAGCATCCGTCAGGAAGGGACTAAAGTCCTTAGTCTAAAGCCATATTGGTCGTTTCCGTTTACAGAACCTCGCTCTCGCTCTCAATCGGAACAACCTGCTACGTGCCCCATTTGCTATGCTGTCATACGTCAGTCGCGGAACCTGCGGCGCCATCTCGAGCTGCGGCACTTCGCCAAGCCTGGGGTGAAGAAGGAGAAGAAAAGTAAGTCCGGTAATGATTCGACACTATACACCAGCGCCGAGCTGAACACCACAACAGAGGGCGACACTACTGTGGGAGAAGGAGAAGCAGAAGCGGGCCTGACGCCGACGAGAGTGATATCGAATGCGTCAGTCGCCGGATCGGCCACCATCCTGGCGCAGAGTGTGCTTCCCCCGCAACAGCAACAGCAGCAGCAGCAGCAACAACTGCAGCAACAGCACCATCAAACAGCGCAGCAGCACATGTCCACGTCAGCAATGGCGGGTGGAGGCCAGACACACATAATGGGCGTCAATATCAAGCACGAGGGTGGCAGTGGGGCTGGCGGTGCGCAGCAGCAGGCGCAGCAGGGCATGCAGAACGTCATACACATTGTGGGCGATCAGGTGTTCATGCCGCAACAGCAGCAGCAGCAGCAGCAGCAGTAGCAGTAGCAGCATCAGCATCAGAATCCAGATTCCTGGCTCCTGCCTACAGCCTGTCGCGCCTTTCATCATTCCACCTACCCACACACATACACACCGCACACTCATCCACATGTACAGTCGTACACGCATACAGAAACGTTTTGTAAATAACACCAAAAGCAAAAATCCCCGTGATCTGATCGATTTGTCTTCATATCCCGTATATTTTTTTTGCCCTCTTTTACTGCGTAAGTTTTTTTTTCCAAGCTTTTCAAAATTCCATTCCTTAATCGAAAATCACTAGTAGTATGCAGTATTTTCTTGCATATTTGAATAGATAGAGATAAAGAGAAGCGAAGAGAGTATAATTTCAAAAAATACTCGATTTAATTTACTTAAATAATTGTAATTAGTGTCGCAAATATATTTGTTGTAAAGAATAGCTGTACAATTACAATCGCAGATCGAAATCAGTTTAAGCTGCTTTTTTTAACTATTATATAACCAATTGTTTAATAAAATATTATATATTTTTTTATATAACAAACAAAATTAATCACTGCCTGTGGCACGGACTTCATTTTTTGTGTGCAATGCTACGTTTTTTTCCATTGGCTTTTGTTCTTTGTGCAAGAAAATACTGTTTTCCACGATTCCTAACTATTCTTTTCCTAACCCGATAAACCTTGAATGAGTTTGAAGAATTGTCCATTCAGTGTTCGATGTGTTTTCATATTTTTTTGAATGTGTTTTGTTCTGTTTTTGGTTTACCCTTGTAAAAGTTTCTAAACTAAATGTTTCCATTTCGCATTTAAATCTCTGCATCTTTTTACTAACCTATTTTTGACACTTAACCTTAGTTTAGTCGTTTCACGATCTATCTGATCCAACATTCCTAACATCCCTAATGTCACACTCATCCACATCTGCATCCACACTTACATCTACATCTACACACACATACTCGTACTCGTACTCGTACATCTTTCCCCTACTTGTAGCTTTTGAAGGCCGCGTTGTTGTAGTCTCAGGTGAGAGAGAGAGAGAGTGAGAGAGAGACAGAGACAGTGACAGCCCGTAGTGTCGTCCGCCATATCTATAGCCTAATCTTTACTATTCGCCTTTCAGTAGCTCCAGCCACAAAGCAAAGCCAATATTCTCATCTGCTATTCCTCCTGCCTTCCTTTCAGCATCCAGTGGCAAAAAGTCGGGCAGCGGCACCTCCGGTTCGGGTTCGGGATCGGGCTCTGGTTCGGGTGGGAGTGCAGCGCTGAGCTCGAGTGCAGGAGGAGTCCCCCAGGTACAGACGGTGCAGTCCCTGCACACGCTGCAAGGTGTGCAGGTGAAGAAAGATCCCGATGCCCAGCAACAACAGCAGCAGCAGCAGCAACAACAACAACAGCAGCAGCAACAGCAACAGCAGCAGCAACAACAACAGCAGCAGCAGCAACCGACAATGACAGTAACCACCACCTCGTCGGGAGGACAAGTGCAGCAGCAGCAACAGCAACAGCAGCAGCAGCAGGTTCAGGTGCAACAACAGCTGCAGCATCATCAGATCATAGACTCGTCCGGCAATATAACAACGGCCACGACGAGTGCCCAGGCGGCGGCAGTGCAGCAACAGGCGGCCGGTCAGCAGCAGCTGGTGGCCCAGGCGGCGGACGGCAGCGAGAGTGGGGCGCCGATGTCGATTGCCCAGGTGCAGACCCTGCAGGGGCATCAGATCATAGGCAACTTGAATCAGGTGAATATGACTGATTTCCAACAACAGCAGCCACAGCAGCAGCCACCACAACAGCAAACACAACCCCAACAGACGCTCTGATCGGACAAGACCGAAACGTAGAATCTATTATTATAATCTGTTCTACTCGTATATAAACTGCTTGCGTAGCTCATTTCTAAACGAAGGGAAAGTCAAAACTGGCTCTCGATGGACGGCCAGGGGCGGGTCTGTCCCCGCTCTTGCCGTACACCACGAGCCTCTAGCTATTACCATTTTGTTGTACAATTCAATGACCTTAATTGTTGATTTCGCTCTACCTACACATACCTATTTAGTTTCGTTGCTAGATTTATGTTTAAGTGCGCTATGGTTATCGGATATGGTTATCTGCATATTGCTATTTTAATTCTGGATACTCGTAGTTTGATCCACGTCCCAATGCTAGAGGTACGCTAGTCAGACTCTGAAACCCCCTGAAAACTTGCAATATTGCGTAGTGTGTCTCTTTCATAAGGTTCTCCTGCTCAGCGCCAGCGCCAGGGCTAGCGATAGCGGTAGCTCTGCCTGTCCTGAGCAGCAGCACCTTGGCTTTAAAGTTTAAACCAATTTAGTTAAATATTCGTACTGTATTTACATAGATAGCTTAAAGATTTTTAAATAATCGTTTCAAGAGAGAATGTGCTTGTATAAGAGCTCGATCCATTCGGTGGCCCAATCAACCAATCAACCAATCAAAAGGCCTTGGCTTTGACGTTTCCCTGGTTAAGAACAATGCGCTCTAATTTTAATCTTAAACCAAAGACTATACAATACCAAGATGTTGCATGAGCGACCAAAAAGCTGTTAAACTTTGAGTGCTTATATCTATTAAACTAAAACTATCTTGAAAATTCGATTGGAAAATTCTCTATTAGATGAGTACATTAAATTTATCTCATAAAATTTTTTGACTATTTCGGCTGAGTCCCCACTTTGCCGCGCCAAAGACATCAGCGACCACGCTTGTATTCTTTCTCTCGAGACACACCGACTCGAAGCCGAGTAGCATTTCGGAGGAGAAGGTAGCGTAAAAGAGAACTGAAGTACTAGCCCCGCGCGCCCGTACCATGAAGCGTCAAACGAAAATTGAAAAAGCATTTGTTCCTCATGCAACGACTTGGTATTGTATAGTCTTTGCTTAAACCCAACAAATTTTTTTTATATATCTAGTATACATTCATATATTTCCTAACTTTAATAGTTGAACATTTTTTTTGAACCTTAGAACCCTTGATCCTTGAACCCCCCAGAGCTCGTTCAGATAGATGGAGTGCCTCCTGAAATTATGATTTAATTGTGTAAATTTGAGCGCCACGAGAATGTTCCATCTATCTGGAATTTGTAAACCTATTTTTAGTCTTTTTAAATACTTAAATAAAATTTAATTTTATTTAAACAAGAAAAAAAAAACCAGAAAATAAACCAAAAACTGTTTAAACAAACACAAAATTTTCAAAAAGTATTTTTTTATGTTCGAGTATTTGTTTTGGTGATGGCGAATCTATATACTTTATACTTTCAACACTTTCTTTTTTGGTTCATTTGTAACATTGGGCATGAGTAGAAAATTAACTTGCACGCTAATTGTTTTTTAAGTTTGACACAAGGAACTACTGATTGAACTGGATCTGTAGTCATACCAAACGAATGGTGACTAATTGGACCAAAGGACCAAAAGGCACCAACACCACAAGAACAAAACCCCACCAACCCCCACCCCACCCCACGCAACACCTCCTCATAACACAACACATAACCAGATCATTAACGAATCGTTTTATCTTGTCTTCTTCTCTCTTTCTCGCTGCCTCGTTAATAACTCACCATCTAACCAAATCAAAATCAAAATCGAATCAATATCGAAATCTATGTGTATAAAAACTGTGTTCATGCCATCAATCAATCCATCAACAACATCAACCATCAATGAAACAATCATCAACAGGGCAACAATAAGAACATTTTGGTCAAGAAGGTTTTCATTTTGAAAGGAGGTAACAATACGTAATGATGATCCAACGATATGACCAGCGGCCCTGGAGGAGGCGGGGGGAGTGGGCAGCCGGCGCACAGTAGTGCGACGGCAGCTACGGCAACAACAGTGAGCAGCAACAGCAGATGCAACACACCATCGACAGCAGCAGCAACATCGACAGCAGCAACAGCATCATCTGGCGCAGGAACACTTCAGCGTCGCATACTGCGCGGCCATGCAGCGCAGACAACCAGCGGCGAGCGTGTTCTGCTCATCAACTACGTGCCCCAGTCGGGATCCCAGACGGGATCGGGAGCAGCATCCACATCGGCTGGCTCCAACCACAGCACGTCCCAATTGCCCACTCGTAAAATCCTCCAGGCCAGAGCCACGGCAGGAGCAGCGGCGGCAGCAGCAGCTGGGGGAGGAGCAACTGCATCTTCCTCGACTGCTTCTGGAACATCCACATCCACGCCAGCTGTCTCGTTTGCCGGTTTGGGCTCTGAGGTGACGGTTACGTTGACGCGAACCAATCAGCGCGCCAGCGTCACCAGTGTCACCGCCGCTGGTCATATTGTACGGAACCAACAATCAGCTTACCACCAGACAACGACCACCGCCACAGCATCGACATCGACCAGCACAACAGCCATGCACGAGCCGATCCAGCACATAGCAACGCCAACGACGCCGCCACCTCTCGTTTTCACTCATCATCCGCATCACATCCACTACCATCAGGAGGATCAGCTGGTGGATCATCACCAGCTGGAGCAGGAGCAGATGAATATCGATCATAATCAGCAGACGGAGGCTGATCAGTTGATCGAGTACGATGGCGGGGTAATCGAAGAGCAGCATCACCATCAGATGCAATTGCAGGAGGATCTCCACGATCCGCAGCAACAGCAGCAACATGAAGTTGTCCAAGAGGTTTATCTCCAGTAAAAGAAATCCCAAAATAAATACATATATAGATTATACGACTACGAGTATATACCGCTAATAGAGATTTAAGTAATATTAGATAAGTTTTAGCTATTGGAAGCCACTCCCAAAATGTGTTGGCGATAGATGCAATCGGTTTTAACGCTGTTTATAGCTTTAATTCGGTAATTTTTGAAAAAAAATCCAGCAGTAAAAGAAGGTTATTCTGTTATAAGACTTACCAAGTACTCGGACATTTATTATTTTGTTAAGATTCACATTTTTTCTCGCTAGAGAAACCTACTTAAACCTACACATTTTGGGAAAGTCCAATTCATATACTGTACATACACGTATTATATCAAATATATCTAATTATAATGATTATGATCCAATATAGAACATAGAATATAATGAATACCATTTTTAGACTTGTACATATATATATTAGATATATGTATATTCTGTGGCAAGTAGGAAAGTATTTTCAATTGAAAATATTAAATTAAAATTTACAGAACGAAACGGAAATGGAAACGTTCAATTAAATAGTTGATAAAATTGACAGATTATTTTTGTACCATACGAATACCGATATTTATAGAAATTAGTTTACGACTTTCGATCCAGCTATCTGCACATTATAATTAACCGTTTAAGGTGCATTATTTATGGTTCAGTTGCAGATCAACCAGCAGAACGTATAGAAACGTAATCAATTGTAATATACGAATATCAACTTCAATCTAGAGAAAAACCGAAAACCCGAAAAACCGAACCATTTCCCAAAAATTGTAATGCGATTTTTTGAAACTGTTGAGGCAGAAAAGAGCCCTTAGGATTACAAATGGAATAGACCGACACATGCGCGTCTTATCCACAGGCAAAAATATTGATGTAACCCGGTTTTTGGGGCTAAGGAAATAAAGCGAACCGTTCTACTGAAAGTAAAATGTCATTGAATTTCTGTTATTTTCTGCAACTCTATGGACAGTAATAGGTAATTTAAGCTTTGGGAGTGTACTCGAAGTTCTAATGAAGCAAAGAAAAGTTTGAATCGGCTCCCAGCTTCGTGTGTCCTTCTGCTCTTTTCAAGGTTCTGCAAGGTCCAGCATCAGGAGGCCATCTTCTGGTTCCGGTTCTTGCTAGAGTTCGAATGCTTACATTTTTTGACTCACTTTTAAATTATCCCCCGCCCCGGATTTCGATCATCAATGCTCTAGATAAGAGGACTAAATACTATAGTTATAAGAGTGTGTTTCCTTTGTTGGTTATTTATTTAATGATTCACAAATATTCCCAAATTCGGAGCCCCTAACACTTAGTTGTATCAGTTTATTATTTCTTTCGAGCAGCCCTTGGTTGCCCTTGCGGACAGCCGTATTCCAAGCAGAGCCACATTAAAAATGCATTTAAATATATTTATTTATGTTTATTGTTTGCTTGCCTTTTTAACTGTTGCCTATACACAATATGTTTCTTTCTAAAAAAAAGCCATTAAACAACTATTTATTTAAATATGTACAAGTTCTTTAACATTGTTTTTATACAAGTAGCAAATTAAAAAACTATAAAATGTTACAAACTACTTTCTATTTCTGGCTTTCAATTTGCAGCAATAGTTTCATCAAGCGAACTTTGACCTACTTAGAATCGGTAAGCATTAAATGGAGCGCCTGAAAAGTTTCGTTGAATACACGTTTAAATTTTTATAATTTTAATTGCAATATCTACATTAAATATTTATGTTTTAAGCATTATAATCAGGCACTAGCTAGACAAAAAAAAAAAAATGCATTTCGCTCTATACTATACTCACTACATTTATAAGTAAATGTAGCATGGATCTGGTGTCCATAGGGTTTAAAACTTCTTAAAATTCAATTTGGAAATATCATTATTATTGTACCAAGTTATCCTATAACATTTTTGGACCTGCATTAAGTTTTCCTTTTTTCAACATACTGAACACTATGGATTAATTACTTTGTTTAATGTTGTTCTGTTTTACTTTTTTTGAATTCAAGCAGAAATCTAATAACTTTTTAAGTACCAATTTGTGGCTTAGTTTATCATTTGCTAGCATTGGAAAATGTTCCTCTCTGTTGTGGGCATAGCTAATCAGGATTTGATATAAATACCTATAACTTCTCTTCTATTACGAGCATACGTATATTACCTTTATTTTATATTATTGCATTTTCGCATATTGGCATTTTTGCGTTGTTTATTTAGCACTTTTCATCAGGCGACTGCTGGCGAAGCACTCGCCAAAGAAGCGGTCCAATGAATGATACAAATGCGGGCGCACATTAGACAGACCGTGATCCTCGTCAGCATAGCTCTGCAAGGGATACACATAGTCAATAATCGAGATTCGAGTAGCTACGTGTAGAGTGGACCACTTACAATCTGCTTGAAGAGTATATCGTGACGCTCCAGGTTCTTGGCCAGGATCATGGCCTGCTGGTAGTGCACATTGTCATCGAGTGTGCCATGGACCAGCAGATATTTCTTGCCCCTCAACTTCTGGGCCCGTGTGCTCAGCCTGGAGTTGGCATAGCCCACCTCATTCGTATTGGGCAGGGCCATATAACGCTCCGTATAAATTGAATCTGCCAAAGAAGAGGGGTTTCTTTTAGACGGGGTCCCTAATGGATGGAGGCCAAGAGTTCACCCACCGTAGTAAGCCCAGTCTGTGACCGGAGCTATGGAAGCCGCACACTTGAACACTTCATCACCATCGTTGGCCAAAGCCATGGCCGCAGCATAGCCACCATATGACCATCCCCAAATGCCGATATGGTCGCGATCAATGTATTTGTAAATTTCGGTGAGGTTCCTGCAGATTGGGGGGACGTGTGAGCCAGAGATGAGCGGGTTATTTGCGAGAAAACTTACTGAGTAACCGTGATCTGATCACTGATCTCTACAGTGCCCAACTGCAGGTAGATGGCGTGCAGCAGGCTCTCGCCGCGCAGTCCCGAGCCACGCCCATCAATCTTGGCATAGATCACCGACTGGTTCGAGGTTAGATATGTGCCCCAGTCCAGCATCCACTTGTTGGTTACCTAAGCAGCACAATTCATAGAGTAACTTACGAGTAGTGGCTGTGGCTGCAGTCATTTGAACTTACGGAATACGAGTCGGGTCCCCCATAGACATCCACCAACATGGGGTATTTGGTGTTGCCGCTGGTATCCAAATTGGGTGGCAGCTGGAGGAGAACCTTGGCCTGGAAGCCCCCGTCAATGTTCACCGTCAGAATCTTGTGCGTGGGCAGGGCCACGCCCTTCAGCTTGGCCCGCAGTGCCTCATTTGTCTCCCAGTCGAGCACATTCGTGACGACAACCTGAGCTGTAGGCATAGAACAATCGAAAATGTTAGGGGATGTGAATCCTATTCCATTGGAGTATCTATACTAACAGTCCACATATTTCCATTCGTAGAGGTGGGTGGTAGGAATGCCAGGTCCCAGCGAGGTGATCACCATATGGTTATTGTCATTGAACGTCGCCGAGAAGTAGGTCTGTTCCACATCACCCGATTTGATGAGCTTGCAGGTCAAGCACTTGGCGTTCTGCTTGGCCTGGGCCCTGATGGCATACAGATGCAGCTGCTCTGGGTGCTCCTCCGTGTTGGCCGTGTAGAAGATCACATCGTTGGTGGCGTCCCAGTGGAGGATGCTGTCCACCACGTACTTTCCCTCGGTCAGCGGCTCCAGCTGCTGCTGCTCCGCGCTGCTGACACTGGAGCTGAGCAGCTGCAGATGCTTGTAGTTGTTGTGGGGCAGGACGACGGCCAGTCGGGATCCATTGCGGTTCCGGAAGGGAGCCGTGTAAAGATCTACCCAGCCAGTTTTTGATTCCGTGCTGTAGATCTACGAGGGACGATATGCTACAGTTGGGGGAGCAGAACCGGCCCTGGGAGGCACTTACCACTTTCCGATTAAGTCCATCGAAGGTTACGACATAGGCGGCGTTCTGAATGCGATTCATCCAGATGGAGAGGACGTGTGCATCGTCCACCCAGCTGACGACGGTGACAATGTAATCCGTTTCCGTGTTGAGAGCAGGCGGGACGGGCATGGTGGTGATGAAATCCCCACCGGACACCGCACGCTGGAGATCGACCATGACCAGCTCGACACGGGGATTCGAGGATCCCGCCTTGGGATAGGCAATCACCTGGTGCAGGGGATACTGGTAGCGGAGGTCCCCAGCATCGCCGTAGTAGGGGAAGTTGATCAGATGCGTCGACGAGTCATCGAACTTAATGAAGGCCAGCTGAGTGCCCGAGGGATTGAACCAGGTGGCCACATTTGAGCTGAAGACCTCCTCCTCGTAGACCCAGTCCGGAATGCCGTTAAGGATGCCGGCCTGCTCGTCGCTGGTGATGACTATCTCCGGCTCCAGGGCGCTCTTCTTGTAGTACAGATTGCGGTCGTAGTTGATGATGAGGGCATTGCCCACCGGCGCCCACTGGACCATGCTCAGATAGAGCTGTTGGTTCTGAATGGTCAGCGGCTTGATCAGGTTCGTGCTGAAGTTGTAGATATCGTACTCGGCCAGGAAGCTGTACCGGAAGTTCTTCTTGTAGTTCTTGGCCAGCAGCAGAAGTTCCCCGTCCGCGGACTTCTCGTACAGCACATAGTGCGCCGCATTGTGGAGCAGCGCCGTGCGAACTCCCGTCTTGACATCGTACTCCATGATGGACTGCGAGGTGGAGTAACCCATGTAGGTGTTGTGGAATCGCTATCCTTGTTATTCCCACTTACCGCATTATCCTTGTAGAGCACACTGTTGTCATTGCTCCAGCTGCCGTTGAAGCGTTTGGCGTATAATTGACCGCTTAGCACATCCTCCAGGTCTATTCCATTGTTGCCAGAGTTGTCCGAGCTGCTGCCATTGTCGTCGTCCGCCTTAAGGATAAACACGAGGGCGGTGGCCAGCAGAGCAACGAATATGACAGCCGTCACAATGCTGAGAATGATCCGGACTCGTCGCTTTTTTTCCTTGGAATGCATGAGGTTCTTTTTTTGATGGGCGGGGAGGAACAGGGAAAGATTAGTATCACGAAATTGTGGAATCTTTGTCTTAAAATAAAGATCAGATAAAGATATCCCTTGAGTTCGAATCCAACTTCCCAAGTTGCACAGGAAAGATTACAAAAGTGGGGAAAAACGTTTTCATGAATACCCGTACCCATTCCACATTGGAACGATCCATTAGGTGCGGAGTTGGTTGACCCCTACGTCGAGTCTAAGCGGGGAAATCGGCTTTCATTTAGAGTGTGTTTCGTTTCCTCCATTCCCATTGGGACGTCCATAACAAGCCAGCCGACTTCTCAGCTAACCAAAACGGTGCAAGCTGGTCGGAAACGCGCACTTGGCCAATTTGGATACAATCTTTCGGGCTAATCAGAGACCCTGGGCACGTCTAAGCGAATGTACAGTAGGTGTAGGAGAGTGTCTGTGTGCGCTTTAATGGAAAGTATGGTTGCGCATGCGCAATGACTTTTTCTTTCGCATCTCCGAGTTCCACTCAAAGCGGCGCCGAAAACCCAGCAAAGTGCACACAGGGAGAGAAAAGGCAGCAGCAGTAACAAATGAGCCACGAAAGCAAAATTCAGAAAACAGAAAACAGAGAGCGAAAATGAAAGTAGTCTTGTTGTTAACCAA